GTTTTTTTTCACTTTGTAGGGGGCGCTGTTCAGCCATTTTCTTTGCGATTTTTTTGGGACCTTTAAAATATCAAATTTTTCACCAGGCCTGACAAGTGTGCAAAATATTGTGAGTTTTGGGGTATGTTAAGGTCCCCAAAAAGCTGTTCAAAGGGGGCACGGAATAACAAAAAATAATAATAATCAGAGCAAAAACAAGAGGCCTTCGCAGCGCTTTCGCTGCTCGGGCCTAATTAAAGCTGCAAGCAGCGTCGTTCGGCCCTCGCAGCTCCGCGCCGCTCCGGCCTGGCCGACAGCCCGGGGCACCAGGGCACGTCTGGCAGAACAGAAACGTCAACCGCCCCGACACTAGAAACCGCAAATGGCCTCCTAGTCCGCACCTCACCCTTACTCAGCATCCCCTCTGAGCTCACCATTAAATTGAATTGTAAGGGTGCGGCGTTACGCCAGAATTCGCCATGGCATCAAAGCCCTTCCCTTTCTGGAAAGCTATCAGATCTGAATGGTCAATACAGCATCATGAAGACAGTGCATGACCTTGGTGTCTTGTTGACTAAATTAGAGGGGACAAATATGGGCATTTCAGCATAAAAAAATAGACTTCCTGTGGTCAGGGGGCGGGGCTTAGGTGATGTCAGCTGTCCACATTGTCATTTTTTACAGATATGGTCAATGATCACACAGACAAAGTTTGAAAAAGATCTGATCTTGCACATGGGAGTTATTAAGTCAAGTAAAGTAATGGCGAAAGGTCAAAGTTTGAGACTTAGCCACGCCCACACCTTTCAACTTTTGAAAAATGCGACGGTTGAATTTTTTCCCCTACGTCTTAAGAGTATATAGTAGAAGTTTGAAAGTGATTGGTGAAAAGGGCGACGGAGCATCACTCTCCAAACAACGTGTGCGAAAACCACTAAATCGCGTACTTGGACCAAAATGGCTGACTTCCTGTGCGACTTTACGCTTGGCTCCAAGAGACTTTTTTGTAGGTCCTGAGACCCCACATTAGTGTACCAAATTTCGTAATCTTCAGTCAAAGCATGGCTTGGGGCTATTAGTTTAAATGGTCCTAGGGGGCGCTATTTAAGAAAATAGGCCACGCCCACAAATTTCAGCTATGTTTGTCTCTTGGGGGTCAGACAAGGATCACTTACAAGAAGTTTCGTAGCGCTATCACAATAACTGAAGAAATGAGAGGCAAACGTATTTCCATGGCGTGATGGTGATTTTCGCCATGCTGCCAAAGCCCCGCCTTTACTCGAAACCTGCCAGTACTGGATACCAAGTGACCTCAAGTTGTCTACTGCTATTTGCCAGAGATTATTGGTGATTGGGTAAAAGGAGTCCAATAGGAAGCTGTGAAAAAAAGAGTGGCGTGGCGAAAGGTCAAAGTTTGAGGCTTAGCCACGCCCACACCTTTCAACTTTTGAAAAATCCGACGGTTGAATTTTTTCCCCGATGACTTAAGAGCATATGGCAGAAGTTTGAAGGAGATTGGTGAAAAGGACGACGGAGCATCACTCTCCAAACAACGTGTGCGAAAACCACTAAATCGCGTACTTGGACCAAAATGGCCGACTTCCTGTACGACTTTGCACTTGGGTCCAAGAGACTTTTTTGTAGGTCCTGAGACACCACATTAGTGTACCAAATTTCGTAATCCTCAGTCAAAGCATGGCTTGGGGCTGACAGTTTTAATGGTCCTAGGGGGCGCTATTTCAGAAAATAGGCCACGCCCACCGGATGTTCACATCAGTTCTTTTGAGGGGCCGGACTAGGATCACTCACAAGAAGTTTCGTGACGATATTTTTAGAAATGACGAAATGGGAGGCAAACGTAAGGCCACGGCGGTACGCCTGACTTCGCCGCGCCGCCACAGCCCCGCCCTCTGTCGAAAACTCCCATAAAGTGACGCCAAGCAACCCCCACTTGTCTTGAGTTAACAGTTACAAATTTGTGGGGATTGAGTGAAATGGGGCCATTTGGGACCTTTCATAGTAAAACTTGACCTTTTTGGTCCTGAGGGGGCGGGGCTTGTGTGATGTCATCATCCGACCATTCATTTTAATTTGTGGGAGGATGACAAATGACCACAGAAAGTTTGGTAACTCTATTCCATTCAATTATGAAGTTATAGCAGTTATAATTTTTTTGGCGAGTAGTCAAACTTCGAGGCCTGGCCCCGCCCCTTCAGCATATACGAAAACTCAGAATCCTTGTCTCATTTTGTTCGGCCATTTCTTCTGAGCAATTTTATACCATTTTTGAGACGATCGTGCGAAAATTGATCGAGCAATCCAATCAGAGACTGACCCTAAAAACGGCAAAAATGGCCAAAAATCGCCATTTCATCCCAAAATGGCCGACTTCCTGTTTGATATTGACCATGCTTGCAAGAGACTTTTCTGTGCGGACTGTTGAGTACTACAAGTGTACCAAATTTCATAACTGTACGATAAACTAAGCTTTATGGAGAGGGTTTTTTTTCACTTTGTAGGGGGCGCTGTTCAGCCATTTTCTTTGCGATTTTTTTGGGACCTTTAAAATATCAAATTTTTCACCAGGCCTGACAATTGTGCAAAATATTGTGAGTTTTGGGGTATGTTAAGGTCCCCAAAAAGCCATTCATTTCGCGCACGGAATAATAAATAATAATAATAATAATCAGAGCAAAAACAAGAGGCCTTCGCAGCGCTTTCGCTGCTCGGGCCTAATAATAATCAGAGCAAAAACAAGAGGCCTTCGCAGCGCTTTCGCTGCTCGGGCCTAATAAAAAGCGACAACTGGACATTTTTAGTTCATGCAGTACTTCAGTGCATTAGGCTAAATTCCCTTATTCATCCCAGGAGAAAATTGTTTATATTTAATGACAATTCAAGACTATACACACACACACACACACACACACACATATATATATATATATATATATATATATATATATATATAACTGTGCAGTGGCACAGTGGTTAGAGCTGTTGCCTTGCAGCAAGAAGGTCCTGGGTTCGCTTCCCAGCCTGGGATCTTTCTGCATGGAGTTTGCATGTTCTCCCTGTGCATGCGTGGGTTCTCTCCGGGTGCTCCGGCTTCCTCCCGCAGTCCAAAAACATGACTGTTAGGTTGATTGGTCTGTCTAAAATTGCCGTTGGTTGTGAGTGTGTGTGTGCATGATTGTTTGTTCTGTGTGTCTCTGTGTTGCCCTGTGATGGACTGGCTCTCTGTCCAGGGTGTACCCCGCCTGATTGCCCATTGGCCGCTGGAGATAGGCACCAGCCCCCCCCCCACGACCCTACGTGGACAAAGCGGGTTCAGACAATGGATGGATGGATATATATATATAGGGCATACACTCTTTATTACTGTAAATGTGCTGTAATCTCTAGTATGAGCCTGGTGAGTCATTTTCTGTGGAAAAAAGCTCTGGTGCTCCAGTTTCAAGAAGTAGAAGTTAGTCGGAGGAGTGGGGAGTGGAAAACATAAGGATATGGAGTCTAACTTGTTCATTTTTCTGCGATCATCTTGCCTTTGATTGGCTAACAGCAGCACAGCTCATCTGCTGCCTCTGTTTGCTTTTCTTTCTTACGTTGCATTGATGTTTTATCTCCACAAACAACACAAGCCTGAACGTGTTCCACCATGTTGTGGAGTCGCTAATGCTAAGGGTAAGCTTCTACTAGCCGAGACAGACAGACAGTGTTCTGCGGTCACAACCAAGGTGGGTGAATCCATGAGTGCAAGTTTTAGTGTGACATCAGTCTCTGGCATTTTATCACCCGAGCGTTTCCCCATCTCTTTTTGTTCTTTGGCTAATGCAGGAAACATGGGCAGAAGACTATTTTCAGGTTCAGCATGCATGAAAAACTCAGAGTGACCAATCACATTGTATAAAACTAGAATTGCAGTTTTCTAATTGAACTTCTGCTTTAAATGATCCAGGACAAACGTCTAAATGAAGACGTTCTAGTTATGTAGATTAACTAAGCTACAACCACAAGCTCTTGAATGCTTGCATTGTTTTTGCATTGTCACAACCCAGCTTTTGATGTATTAAAGAGCAAGTCAACCCCTACCAGAGTCTTACTCCACTCCCACTTCCTGTTTGAAAAATGCAACAAATGCTGTTGTCTGGCAGACCGAGAAGGCGGAGTTGCTAACAAATACACACACACAGGCTCACAACAGCATTGCGGCATCATAATCTACCAGCTAATGTCATAGTGTACCTCTTAGCCAATCGCGATGGCAGATTTCAAACGCAGTGCTGAGTTTTTACCTGAAAAGGGCACAGCACTGACAGTTTTAGGCAGAATATTTCAGTTTTACCTGAGATGCACCAAAGTGCTAAATTATTGACTACATGTGTTTACAGCACAATTAGACACTCATTTATATAGATTATAAGGAAAAAATTATTGGTGATGACTTGCTCCTTAATATAATATGTGTTTAATAATATAACTTATGAGTAAATTCAAATAAATAAATATAACTCACTGTCTAAACAAACTCAAAGTCATAAGACTTATACTTGCTATAGGGAGAAGAGCAGCCATAACTAAACATATCAATAACTAAAGAAAACAAAAAATGGACTGCCTGCTTGCTACTGCAAGAGCTACCACAGGTAGGAGGTTGGACCCAGGTGTTCTCAGTCAGCATCTGACTCAGAGGGAACCCGATCAGGCAGGAAACAACAGGAGTCATCACATCATTTATATATAAACAGTAAACAGCCACTGTTGAGTCCAATCAGCAAATATCCAGTACATCCAGTCTGAATGTGAAAAAGTAAAATTTCTTTTTGTAGTCGAACGCACCATTGCCAAGCAGGAAGAAAAGAAAACATTCCAAAAAGTTTCCCAGTCAGTGAACTCACAATCACAAAGCATTAATTCAAGCTAGCAGTCAGCACGAGCTGATCTTCCATGTGGAAGTTTTTTACTTCCAGATCCACAATTTTCGAATAATCTTAACAAAAACTGTTTTCTGTCAATTGTAGTTCTATGAGATGAATCAGAATTGGCCGAAATCGGTGTTGGCAGGTCAGAGCTACACAAGGATTGGAAATCGATCCTCCAAACCACAATCGGTGAGTCTTTATTGCAGCATGGTTAGAAAGGTGCAATGTTGATGGTCCAGGACTGAAAACAATAAAGTGATTAAGAAACATGCAGATTATTTTTCTTTTTCAACTAACAAGGCACAAAAACCAGAAAGGTCATGGGCAGCGTTGGGAAAGTTACTTTTAAAAAGTAATTACTTATAGTTACTAATTACTTTGTCAAAAAAGTAACTCCGTTACTTACAGAGTTACGAGATTATAAAAGTAACTAATTACCAAGAAAAATAACTACTTAGTTACTTTTTTCATTAAAGAATGCAAGAAAAATGGGTTAATTAAACTTACTTAATTTACTATAAATTACTACAATAGTGAAATATAAATGACTAATGACTGGAACATAATAAAATGTATGTCCACATGTTTTTTAAAACCTGAATAATTTAAATAAATAAGCACTTAACAGGGGGAACTACTAACAGAAGCATTACACTTATCTAGACTATTAAAAGGTCACTGTGTGATACTTAACAAGACCCCAGTCAGCTAACATTTAAAATTGCAAATATAAACACTTGTAAAGGTTCCCGAGCCTTTAAATGGTCTCTCAGTCTAATTAAATTACAGAAATAAATGTAATTTTGCACAGAATTCTAAATTTTCCAGCTTCACATAATTGTGTGTTTTTAGTAGCATTTCTGTTGCTGGTAATTTAGTAACGGTTAAATAAATAAATGAATAAATAAATAAATAAATAAATATCCTTTAAAATGACACTAGAAGAGGCACAGATCTGATGGAGGACTTACATTTACTAACTTGGGTCAGACCCAACCACAGAAAAGCTGAAGCTGGGTGGTAAACACACACAGGGAGTTCTAATAACACCTGAGCTCCATGACGTCTGAGACTGATGCATCAGTGTTACAGCGGGACTAAAGACATGATCAGAAACAGGTTACAGCTGGATGATCTACGAAGGTAGAAGATCAGGACGTCTGAGCGGTGAACAGGTGAGCGGACCTTCGGGACGTCCCGCTGTCACGCTAAGAAGGGAGTAGACTCTTTATCACGTCTTCCTCGTTCGTCACGGGTCGTGATGCTCTTGGATGAAAACATCTACCTCTTTAGCTTCTGATCAGCTGATGACAGCTTCAACACACCGCGCTGCTTAACGCACGCATTTCCTTATCAGTAACAGAAACGACGTTTTGATAAAAGAAGACGATAATTAATTAGTTTGCTCGTTACTGAAAAAAACATTTTTTTAGTAACTCGGTTATTTAAACGGCGTTATTCCCATCACTGCTCTGTTGGGTCTACAGCAGGCAGTGACTGAGACAGTGAGAACACTGAGGGTCTCCGCCCACCCGGCCAATCATCATCGTGTTTGTAAGTGCGTTACCGACACCTCTCTCTCCCTGGCTGCAGCTGAAGTGTGGCGGTCAGAAAGCCTCACACTGTTGCTCAACGTTCGACAAGCACATAGTAACGCACAACCTTCCGTCCCCAGTAACGGTAACGGCGTTGCAACAGTGGGAAAAGTAATTAATTAGATTATTCTGTTACCTAAAAAAGTACGCCGTTAGTAACGCCGTTATTCTAAACAGCGTTATTCCCATCACTGGTCATAAGTCAGGGACAGAGGTCTTTAACCATTAGTGATAGCGTAAACTAACAATTTGATGTTTGTGTGTGGTATTTATCCCGACTAAAACATTCCTTTTTATTTTTGCTGCATCATTACATTTTGTGCACTTCATCATTTATATATTCTTCATTTGCCTGCAGCAGCAGAACAACCTGAAGAAAAAACCTTTGCCTCCTGTGAAATTTGTTGAGGGCGAAGTTGTTTGGGCGAAATTCAGCCGAAGACCGTGGTGGCCGTGTGAAGTGGTGGTTGATCCCTCACAGGGAGTTTTTCACAAACTAAAAGGTTGGTGTGAAACATTCCTAATTTATCATGACAGCAAAATGAAAGCAATGTAGATTAATTCATGCACATTATTTATTTGTGCTGGTAATTTACATTTTGTTAATAGTAAGAAGTATTCCTTATATGAACAAATATTGACCATAATTTATTAAAACTCATTTTGAAAACTGAAATATTTATTTAGGATCTCAAATGGAAAAGAAATGTATGAGTTTTTTGTGTGTATAAATACCTGAATCTGTTTCATACTTTTCATTTTTTTTATTTTTTTAGCTACACTTGCCAGTATGATGTTTTCAACCATTTATTGGTAAAACAGTTTAAAAAGTAAGGACTTATCTGTTTTTTTACTTTCTTTGTTTATTTAGCCAGTGTGAGTCCATGTGAGATGAGCAGAGTAAATCAACTAAGATGTTGCTTGGAAATGACCACATCCAAAGCTCTTTAGAGACACAAAATATTTAGCAGAACATAATTAATTAAAACTAAAATATAAAAACAAATAAATTACTGCCGACACCACGGATTCAAACCCATGTCGGTGCACAACAAACCTGAGATGGCAGACAGACGCCTTAAACACTGGACTACCATAGACAATACAGCAACTAGCTCACATAAGACGCTGTTGTAGGCATGGGCGGAGTTTCGTTAAACGTAAGTGTTTTATTCCTGGGTATAAATTCAGGCTGACTAAAATAACTTGTATTTAAAATAAAAGACACCTCAATGGTGCCAACGGTAATATTTTATCATATACTGTGCCTACCTTTGCCCTCAAAGGTTAAAAATAGCATGATATAGAACCTTTAAATTGTTGACCTGATTATTTTACTCTTGGGGAAATATTGACAACATACTTGCAAACATAAGGGACATTTAAACATCAAAGGTGTCTTCGATCTTTTAATCAGTCAGTATGACTATTTAAAGGCTGAAAAGTAGTCACAGGGCAGTCTGGTATTAGGGTGTGTACTACAAATGAACCATAGAAGCTTAGGAGGGAGTTGTTTCAGGGAAAGATAACTACAAGCTTGTTAAAGGTGATGGTTTGAGGACTATGCAGCTGTACAGAATCATCCAAAGGGACTGTAGATAACCTCCCTGGATGTGGACACAAAAGGAAGAACAATGACAAATAAAAGAGATGAATAATACAACCTACTAGGTGATTAGAGCTGAACTCCAAGGTCAAAGTTAATCTGTTTTAGATTGCACAATCTGTCACTGTTTAAGCAAAAGTATAACCAAGTAAGACACCACTGTCTAAAACAAATTATAAAATAACTGGAATCTGCAAAAATGAGTGTTGATGAGCCTCAAAGCTATTGAGAGAATGTCCTTGGAGTAGATCAGATAAAACTGGAGCTTCACAACAAGTCACACAAGCTCTATGTTTACAGAAGCAAAAAGGAGGCAAACAAAGGAATACCAAACCTACTGTGGAATATGGAGAAGGCTCCTTTCAGTTCTGGAGAGGCTTCTGGACCAGAAGGTTTAGTTTCAGATCATGGGTCCTCTAACAGAATAACGAGCCAAAACAGCTATGAACATCCAAGAATGGATTAGAACCAAACATTGGACTACTGTGAAGTGGCCCTCTAGGTCCCTTTAAGAAAGGAGATGTTTCTCTTTTTAAAATTGTCATGATTAATCTGGTTTTCAATGCCTCTTTGTGACACTCCAAGTTGTTGTAATGTATTCTTCCAGTAATCCTTGGTGATGTAATATTCATTTATCTTTCTTATTGTATTAATGATTTGTTGTCTTAGAGCCCAGTGACCGGCCTTGTCGACTTTACTATGTCCGGACCTTTGGAGAGCCGAAGGACTTTTTCTGGGTGGAGGAGAAGTCAACTCACACTTTTCATGGAGGCTTTGAATTTGAACAACTCATCCTGCTGCGACGAAGGGGGAAGCAAAGAGAACAAACCAGCAAATACACTGTAAGTATTTGTGATCCATCTTTGGTTCTTCATGCAAAAACCTCAGTGGTTCTCAGGAACATTGTTTATTTTTTTGTTAATTGATGTGTGAAATTACTGAGCGTTTTTTTCTCTCCGCAGATTGCAAAGCGTTTCCAGAATTCCTGGAAATCCAGTGTGGCGGAGGCCGAGTCCGTTTTGCCTGGGAGACCCAAATTGACTTCCTCCATGTCTTCATCCACAGATAGCACTTTCCCCTGTAGCTCAGCAGTAGAAGGAGAGAATAAACCCCATCCAACCTTTCCTCCTCCAGTTTCACCCACCTCTGCCCTTTCGGAGACATTGCACATAACAAATGGATCCATTTCCTCCACAGGTACGCCTCCAAGGAAACCTAGCACTTTAAAGAAACCTTCTGGGAAGAAGAAACAAAATAAATCCCTAAAGGACACATGGAGTAAAAACTCTAAAAAGACATTGAACTGTAGCCCTGACCAATCAGAGAGAGACAATGGAGAGTGCCCATACTCTGATCTCGAATCAGTTCCTAAGATTTTATGTCCTAAAGCACTTGAACGCCAGCCTAAGCTAGTTCCAGCTCAGCCTTCAGTCACTGTTGCCAAAGAGCTGAAGAAGCAGCCTGAGATACAGAGTGGTCTTTGGTTTAGCAAGTCAGGTAAAGACAGGCGACCAAAGACTACCAGTTCAGTGCCGGATCGTTCGCTCTTTAGTAAGGTGCCCTGTAAGAAAAAGAACATCTCCACTGTTAGCAAAAAGACGCTTGTTTCTTTTGCCTCCTCATTTGGTGGTGGGTCTAATGACCAGGCACCATTGTTAGATAAGCATAAGACAACTGAAAACAATCCACTACTTGAACAGCCAGGATCTTTGAAGTGTAAAACCGTTGAGGGCAGCACAAATAGTAGTTCTGTAGACCAGTCAGGGTTTTTGAACAAAGAGAAGACCCAGTCGTCCGCAGAAAGAGCATTTTCAAAGGATATACAGATAGTCAGCAATTCAACTGATCTTGCTACTGACCATTCATCTGATCTGTTGGGTAGCTCAGATGTTCCTGAAGATGTGGAGTCCTCAAAGAAAGTTCAGTTTAATGACAAATCTAGTGTTTTGAAGAGTTTAAAAAGTGTCAGTGAAGCCAAACTGTCATCTGTAACATCAAATAAGCATGTCAGTAAAACTGACAAGATCTTGGACAAAGAAAAAGAAAGCAACAAGACTTTGGCCTCCTGTTTACAGGCTGGAATGAATGATCCAGAGTTGACACTACAGGAGCAAACAAGTCTGGTTTCTAAGTGTAGGCTGCCCTTTGTGAAACTGATCCGTAAGGAAATCAATGATAAGAAACATCTGAACTCCGATGTGACCATTTGTCTCACTGACCAAGCTGAGTGTGCAAAGAAAGAAAAGACATCAGAAGTTAAAACATCTTCTTGCCAATCAGACTGTGTAAACAGGAAGTCAAGCTCCTCTGTTAATAATTTAGGATCCTCAAAGGTCTCGGTCAAGAAGTTAAGAGCTAGTGGTGGTTCTGATGTGATTCGTCTCTCATTGGAATCGTCTCATGAGGGAAATACCATGGCTTCTGATAAATCTGTTGATGAGCTGGTTGGCCTGGAAGAAAAACAGGTACCAATTTCAAAAGTAAGTCCAAACAATGGGACTTACTCATCACCCACAAAATCAGACCAGTCGGAAAATGAAAAGACTCCTGTCAAATCTTCTGACCGGTTAGATGGCACTGACCAAGTCACAGCTTTTAATCCATCTCCTCAGCCTTCTCATCCTTATGGAGATCAAGGTTGTAGAGAATCTTTAGTTCCTGAAGACCTGTCTTCTCAGGAGTCTAAGACTGCCATTGTTTTAAAGTTAGTTCCAGAAGTGAATGAAGTCCTAAATGAGCAACCTGCCCACCTCCCTGCCAGCAATCGGCTGATGACCAGAGCACTGAAAGCCATGCATGAGGTCGACCAGAAGCAAGGTAAAGCCCAGCATGAAGTTGAACAAAAGCAGCTCTTAAACCCTTTGAGACAAGAGTTTGAGTGGAAAGAGGCCAAACTGGATGCCTGCAATAAAATAAACTTTCTAAAACCTCATCACACTGACAATGGTGAGAGTGATCAAGGTACCATTTCTAGCTGCAGCTCCCCATCTTTAATACTTTCTGATTCAAATGATGTTAAGAGTGAAGATGAAGACCTATCAACTCCACCAATGGACTTCATTCCTCTAACGTCTAAAGTAAAGGCAAGGCCTGAAGATCAGTCCTTGAACACACAACCCCCATTACCCCCAACATCACCATTTTCCTTTATTAATGATTTTAAAAATGCAGAGGTTGTTTCCTTTCAGTCCCTGGCAAGTAAGAACAATGGTAAACCCATCTCATTCAAGACAGACACAAATTACAAGTTCAGCACATTTCTTATGATGTTGAAGGACTTGCATGACACTAGAGAGCGAGAAGGGGCTCCTCTGGAACTGGAGATTGGACCACCAAGTGCACATGTCAAGGAGGAACCTTCGTTGCTGCCACAGGAGGATCTGCCAGCAGAACATATTCAAAACGTGGAATTTGTTTCTACCCAAACCAATTCAAGTCCAGTTGAACAGGAGTCCAGTTCAATTCACAAACCCAAAAGGCCCTACTACAGAAGGGGCTCCCATTGGCTGAAAAGGAAAAACAATCGCAGAGTGCCTTCTCATTCTGCGAGGTCTAGACCTGGCTTTCCAGGATATGAGTCCTCATCGGCCAAAACTTCCCTCCCAGAAATGAACTCAACATCAGAAGTGTCATTAAGGGTGTTGGACATTCAAAGCAGCAGCAGGGAGGACCAGGTTGAAGGCAGTGGAGGAATGGTTAGTCAAGAGGAAGATGAGGAGAGGTGGATCAGATTGAAGGGGAATGAAGAGATGATGGTGCCTTTGGAGCAGGAGGAACAGGAAAACCAGCTTGTTGCAGATTTCACCAAGAAGAGTCCAGGACTGACGCATGATGTTGGAGACGGAGACAAGGCTCAATCAGGTAAGGACCAACAAATCCACAGATTACTAGCATTCCCTGTGAATTGCCTATGTGGGTTTATATGAATACGTCAGCTCTTAATTCACTTTTAGAAATTATTTACTCATCAGAAAAGTTGTTTTTTCCCCCCCCTTTGTTTGTCAGAAAACAAACGGATTAGAAAACCCAGCAAGAGGCTGATTGAATGGACCGAAGAGTACAACCAGATTTTCCCCACGAAGAAGAAAACCAAAAAGCCTCTCCAGTTGATTGGAAAGGTAAAAATCATACAAAGTATGCTCTGCTCTAACTTCTCTATTCTCTCCTTTTGCCGTTAAAAGTCCACCAAGCAGGCAACTTCTGTCCTTGCAATCGGAGATGATACTCACTTATCTGTTCTATTAGACCACCGAACCCATTACCTCCATGTCAGAGTTATCTGAGTTGGACCAGAACGAACATGAACGCTCGTCCTCGACCTTGCCTCTTGAAATACTGACCCCACCTCCTGAGGAGATCACTTCAGTGACAACATCTGAGCTGCACATTCCTAGAAGTGAACACGCATCTATCCAAGATCTGCCGATGCTTTCCATGAACACCCTAACACCGCCCCCTGAAGCCAAACACTCACCGTCAGAAGGCCTCACCAAAGACAAAGGTAGGGTGAAGGTTTGATTAAAGATGAATTTTAAAGCAATCCATCCCTTTGCTACAAGATGGAGTTGGAGGTTTGAATAGATGTTCATGAAGACGTGAAAACAAACAATGCTGTCCTTTGTGTGATTGTCAGATGGAACTCCTGTTTTGGAGAAAAAGCGAAAGAGGAAACCGACTCAGAAGATCCTGGAGTATTGTCTGGAGGCCGAGGCAACAACAGGGCCGAAGAAGAAGGTACAACCCGATATTTGGTACACCATGTTGTACACGCTACTGTTAAAAAACTATGACTCAGGCCTTCTACAGAAATAATTTTGCATCTGGTGATCCATACTTAGGCTAAGCAGAGATGCTAAAGTCTTGTTTATGTCTTGCGTCTGCATCAGTGAAGGGACACGCAACACCATTTTCCGTCATTGCGTAGGCTCTCCAGCAGGCTTGCAAGGATAAACAGAGTCAAGCCCACTTTTCTAAACATGCGTCAAACAAGACAGAAAACGCAAGCCTATGATTGGTCAGGACGCTGCTTCCGAGAGCCGAAGATATCTAGCGGCACACTTGGAGCAGCTTGAAGAATACCTCACAAAAAAAAAACTCTAAAAATATGAACGTTTCATTCACCAGTGACTGGAGGAGTATAAAGACACACAGTAAGCATTTTATTCGTGGATAGAAATGATGGGAAATGTAGGTTTAGAGGAGCACATGAAGAGGTGGAGAAGAATGAGAGACTATGTCCGTGTTAAAAAGTTTCTGAAATACAAAAAGCACAACAGAAGCACGATAGTAAATGCACTAACTTGGACCGGTTACATGACAGCATACCCCAGAAAAGCACACCGCCCGCTGTTGTCCTGGCGGGGAATTGCTTTGCAACACTGCGTCAATATGTGTGTGTATCTTCCTTGTAGAGCTGACGGAGAAGGACAAACTAGGCTTTAGGCCTGGCGACCCGACCCCGGATAAGCGGATGATAATGGATGCATGGATGATCCATAATTTCTTGTAACCTTTTAAAGCCATCTTATTAAATTTTTTGCAAAAATCTGGGATAATTTTTCTGTTTCTATAGACTTTGGCCGTTTTTTCTATTTGTTTTCAGTGCCTGGCCATTTCAGAGGGTTTACTGCTTGAAATTAGGCCTGGGTGATTTGGCAAAAAGAAAGGTCAGACTCAGGATATATTTTTCCATATCATTTGATCTCGACTTTAACCACAATTGTTTTTTAATTGCCAGTTTAAGTGAAATAAAAAAAATGAAGAAACCAGACATTATTTAAGCTTTTTATTTACATTCTGAGACTTTTTAGTGATAAATAAAAACAAAATAAACAAACTGACCCCTCTCAAAACAGGAGATCATTGAAAGCTTCAAATGTGCGTTTTGTTTCCTCAAACCAGTAACTTGTCACCTCAGGTAAGTTACGGAAGTATCACCTGAGGCCTTTCCAGTGATGATAATCTTTGTGCAGTTTAAGGAAAACATGCAGAAACAAAGGGATGCAGTTCAGCTTGTAGCAAAATGCAAACCAAAGAACAAATTAAAGCAACACAAAAAAATTAGGCACAAAATTTCTTTTTCTTTTGTTCTGAGGTTAAAACTTGCTGATGTCTGTTTCTGTTGCAGATAAAAGGACTGAAGAATAATTCAAATGCTGCTTTTCAGTCTGGTCAGTGAGTCGTTGAACATTACTTTGTATTTAGAATTTCTATTGTTAACCCTTTACTGTGCACCAATGTTTGACCCTTTTTTATTATTGTAATAGGGACTATAGTTAATTACCTTACTTTCATAGACAAATCTAAAATCCCCTTGAAAATGTTTTAATAATTATTTAATATTTGATTATCTGATTGGCACTTTTTGAAATTTTTTCTACACGGGCTGCAAAACCAAGAAAGCAGGAATTTGTTTATTTTGTTGGTATTTTGAGCAACTTTTTATACTTTTTTGTGGAAAAGAGATTTTTTTTAATTTAACGTTTGTTTCTGATTCTGATTTCAGAGAAAATCATCTAAAGTCACATTAATGTGGATTATAACTGCAATTGCATTGTTTAATGGATATGTTTTACTAAGCTTGACTTTGAAGAGCCTTTTATTCTGAAACAAGAATAACCCGACTTTTTTAAGGAAAGTTTTTTTATTCTTTTAAATGAGTGCATATCTTGTGTATCTCTTTATAGTCTCAGATTCTGCTCTGCCATCTTTAAAACCCAAGAACAAACCTCATCCATCCTCCATCGCCACCCCAGCTGATGACATCACCACCTGTGCATCCGAACCTTCCAATCAGAACCCTCCTAGACCCTCCACCTCCACGCCTTTCCAGTCTGAACCCAGACAGGTGGAGGCGGCACCAGCAGATGCTTCTCAGCTTGATGACAACATTAATAGCAGTCCAGAGGACACAAAAGAAACAACAGAGTCAGAGGCAAGACGTTTGCTCTATTACACATTAATCTTTTTTCTCTGGTTAAATTTTATGACTAAGGATATTTTTCCATATACATTCAAAGGGCGATCTGTCAGGGTTGGACCAAAGTTTCTCCTCCATGAAGGACAACCTGTCTCTGTGTGATGACACTCTGTCACCTACGAGGAAGATCATCGGAGACCGAGGAGGGCCGGCTTCTATGAAGGAGAACGTGTGTCAGGTACTTTAACTCCTTTCAGGGACCTTTCAGCTATGTTTAGTCCTGTATGAGTGATAAAAAAAAAGTAGACATAGTACAAAACTTTCCTAATGACCTGTGTTTGGAGAAATAGATTCATCAGCACTCTCTTTTTTATTGCTGTCATCTTAAAGTAACGCTATTTGTTAAAAATTGGTTGTGCTCTCAGATATGTGAGAAGACTGGGGAGCTGCTGCTCTGTGAGGGTCAGTGTTGTGGAGCTTTCCACCTGCCCTGCATCTCTCTGGCCAAGGCTCCAAAAGGAAAGTTTGTCTGTCCTGAGTGTAAATCAGGTGAGTCCTGCCAGAGAAACAACCTAAACCTGACCGTCTCAAACGAGTATTTCAACCCATCATGTTACGTTTTCTTCAGGCATCCATACCTGCTTTGTGTGTAAGAAGCGCAGCGAGGATGTGCGACGCTGCATGATTCCTGTCTGCGGGAAGTTTTATCACGGCGAGTGCATTGCAAGCTACGCTCCAACCGCACCTGTGAACCGAGGTTTCCGCTGCTCGATCCACGTCTGCCTCACCTGTTTCATCACCAGTCCCAACAGCTCGTCCATCTCTAAAGGTAAAAAATAAATAAATTAAAACAAGCCCCTGGTGCAGGCTGATGTTCTGGAAAGCTGCATTTCCAGTGGTGCCTCAAGAAAAGTTTCATGGGGTGGCCATTGTAGGGTTAGGTAAATTGAGTACTTTAAGAGCTCAATATATATTACCTCTACTTATGACCAATACGCTGGGATACTCTATCTAAATATAGAATATCACCCTGCCTGGTCTTTGTTGTGCTTTAATGAGAAGATTCTGGGATTCTTTATTTATTAGGGGATTGTACACGCTTCGTTTTGATTCAGGAAACAGTCAGGTTTATAAAAGTAAGAATTTATTTTACAAACAATAAAAACTTGACAAATTGGTTAACTATTATTTACTGTGAGTGGATGGAACTAAAGGTGATGTCTGGAACCTATGCATGAATGCGATGTTGGTCAGAACTTCCGTATCTCGGAGAGCTGAGTTCTGGATGTAAAAGAGTTTGGTTTGCGCTAAGCTATGAGGTTGATTATTGTCAAAAACCACATCCAGACGCAATCTCACTGTGTTCTACGTACCCAAGTGGAGACGCCCTTTTGGATCCGAGATGTCGGGGGGGGGGACCCCGGTACCGAAGTCCGTAGACTAACTTGCAGTACGACCAGGTCAGTCCAGAGTCATCTCCAGGCAACGACAGTTGGAACTAGTTTGCGTCTCAGGAATAACTCTTAAGGAGTTGAACAAATCGTGGTTTCTATGCTTATTGTAAATAACTCCCATAGGCCTCAGGTCTTATTTAGTGTATTGAGTCGTCTTATCTCCCCTGGTGTGTCCTCTTGCCTACAGTTTTCTGATCTGTTCTGTGAAAAGTTGAAGAATTTCTTTACAGATAAGATCACCTCTCTTAGATTATCTTCCCCTTCCTCTCTGCTGGACACAGCCTTTTCACAACCTTGCTCAACTGCTTGTGACCAGTTTGAGCTGTTGTCTCTTTCTGACCTCTCAAAGGTGGTTCACCAGTTAAGACCTTCCTTCAGCCCACTAGATAGTATCCACACATCACTTTAAAAAAATGTTTTTTCCACAATTGGGCCCATTATTTTACTTATTTTAAATACTTGTTTATCTGCTGGTCATGTCCCTGCCGCCTTTAAACGTGCTGTTATTCAGCCGCTCTTAAAGAAACCTAATCTTGATCCCATGGTGCTCTCTAACTACAGGCCTATCTCCAAGCTCCCTTTCCTTTCTAAGGTCATGGAGAAAATTGTCTACAGGCAGCTGCAGGACTACCTTGACCATTATGGTCTTTTAGAGAAGTTTCAATTAGGTTTTAAGCAATATCACAGTACAGAGACTGCTCTTTTAAGAATATTTAATGATATATTTTTAACTATCGATTCTGGTCAATCAGCTGTATTGATCCTTTTAGACCTAACAGCGGCCTTTGATACGGTGGACTATCAGATCCTTTTATCCCGCCTAGAGCATGACGTTGGCACCCGGGGCTCAGTGTTGCAGTGGTTTAAGTCCTACCTGTCAGACAGGACTTTTACAGTAAATATGGGGCAGTGTTGTTCGTCTCCAGCAAAATTTAGTTGTGGTGTCCCTCAAGGTTCAGTTTTGGGCCCACTCTTGTTCTCTCTGTATATGTTGCCTCTTGGTGCAATCTTTCGTAAGCATGGCATCGCGTATCACTTCTTTGCGGACGCTGTGCAGATATATGTCCCACTACATTCTCGATAGCCATCGTTTAACAAATTACTGAATTGTTTAATAGATGTTAAAACCTGGCTACAATTGAACCTTCACACTTTAAATGAGAAAAAGATGGAAATTGTTGTTTTTGGGGACACTGGACTGTTGCACAGGGTAAACAGTGTACTTGGCCCTTTAGAATCCTTTTGTGTGTCTCAGGCAAGAAATCTGGGTTTTTTCATTGATGGCCATTTTAAACTTGATAAACAGATAAGTTATGTGGTCCAGAGCGTGTTTTTTCATTTGTGTGTTCTTAGTAAAGTCAAGCCCTATTTACCACTCAAAGACTCTGAAAAGGTTTTACACCTGCTAATCATGTCGAGACTCTACTACTGCAACTCTCTTTATCGTGGACTGGAGCAGTCGTCAATTCACCGCTTGCAGGTGGCTCAGAATGCGGCGGCCCGCTTGCTGATAGGTAGAAGGCGCAGGGATCACATAACACCAGTCTTACAAGCACTTCACTGGCTCACGATCACTTACAGGATTCAATTTAAAATGCTACTGATCTGTTTTAAAGCACAACACAATTTGGCCCCTCCTTATCTGTCGGAACTTTTAAACACTCATGTCCCCAAACGAAACCTCCGATCATCCTCTCTACATCTTTTATCCGTTCCCAAGTCTAGGCTGAAGTCCAGAGGCAACAGAGCCTTTTCTGTGGCCACTCCCAAGCTCTGGAACAGCCTTCCCCTACAGATTAGGTCTGCGGACAGTCTTTCTGCTTTTAAGTCTCTTGTAAAAACCTACCTTTTTACCCTTGCTTTTAATTGATTTTATAGTTAAGTTATTTTAGGGTCTACTGGAAGGCTCTCAGTGTTTTATGATTTTATTTTTACTGCTTGTCTGTGTATGTGTGCAGTCTCTGATTGTTGGAAATGTGCTATATAAATAAAATTGACATTGACATTGAAACTTCTCTAGAACTGAAGAATCACCAGCGTGATCCAGTTTTAATGTTATGATGTTATGATTGTGTAGCCAACCAACAGTTGACAAGTTTGGATGTTACCAAGAATCTCAGAGACACACGCCTTCTTTGATCCGGAGGCTCTGATCTGGGTAAAAGGTTAATTATGTGTCATGGACTTAACTTTACCTTACTTTGTACTTGTGTGAGTGCAAATGTTATGACCTTGTCAAGTAAACATGCTAAACAATCACTGAGCAGAGATTAATGAAACATTTCATTATTTATAATTATTATAAGTAGCAATAAACAAATGTTTATTTAATGATTATCTAGCTTGTAAATTTCAGAAATTCATATTTAATTTGAAAAATCTTCTTTCTTCTTTGTAGCAAGGAGTTTAGATAAACGGGTTGCTCTGTGAGGGACCTTGGAAAGAACAGGATGTCAATGTTATGATTTTGTTATCTCTGTCAGAGCTGCAGGCTCTGAGCTCCAGCTGGTGTAAGGAAGGCAGGCTGATTTAAAGGGATCACATGCACTCTCGTGTCTCCTTTTTGACCAGATGTTGAATGGTAAAACAGTACCTAAACTGACCATTGCTGGACGTTACTCCATGCAGCCAGAGAAAATTTTGGGGTGACACCAAATTGTTCATTGTGGTATCTCTGAGAAAGTTTAGCCTGTAGTGATGCAACAAATGCTCCTTTCTTAATTTTCTTTAAAAAAATAATAATAATAATAAAAATATGCGTCCAACACATATCAAATTTGAGAAACACAAAATTTTCTGGAAAAATCCAGTAGGGTGGCCAGCAGTTATCTAGGGATGGCCGTAGCCACTTGACGACAGCCGGCAAAAAGCTCCTGGGTTGTTTAAAGTGGTTGCAGTAACCACATTTTACCACAAGGTGTCATTTTATCTCTACATAATGCACCTTTAAAGAAGTTTTGTTCTGACAAAAAAGCCACAATTACATTCAGGGGACCGGAAGAATGGCTGCGTCACAAAAAAAGCAGCATTCAAATAATAGAAGAAATGCTTTTTTTTTTGTTACTACGCTCTGTAGGAAAATACAATTACAGCATTGTGGGGGGAGTTTAGATACAGCTATTTTAAAACAGCATCAATTCTACTTATTTTCTTTTCCATCCATCGTGCTTCATCAGCAACTTATCCAAATTTACAAACACTGACAGTTTAGTGACTTGTGACATCAGACATCTCATTTCCCACTAAGTTACAATCAATCAGCATAAGTTAACCATTTCCAAGTTTATATTCCACAGCAGGTACTCGTTTGGTCCCTGAAATGTATTGGAAAGGCCTTTCAGGCTTACCTGGTAATAAGGAGGCACACACATTCTGTTATCTGGAAAAATTACCCAGAAGATCCAGTAATGGAAACGGGTTGTTACAGCTGCTGCTTCTTTGCTCTAGGAGCAGAAGCTCAGGACTCCTGTCAGTGCCACCTCCTACTTCCCGGAGTCCTTACCCAGGACAGAGGTGCCCCAAGTATGGGCTTCTGCCCCCACCCTCACCCACCATCTCCCCTCTCCTGCTGGCACTCCTGAGGAGCTTAAATGTAGAGCTGCCAAATGCTGCTGTCCTGAAATCCTCCCTTTTTACTTTACTGGCTTTTATTGTGTTTAATATTAGAGCTTGGCTGAGCGCTTTGAAGCATAATTGCTTTTTAGTACTTAGACGAGGAACCAGATCAGTGCTGGCTTCCTTCCACCACAACACCTGAGTATGGTCAGAGGACCTCTATTTTGCAAAAGCTTTGGTGGGTAGCCAGTGTTCTGGGTTAAATAAGAAAAGTATTTTTATCATGGTTGGACCTTCGGACATTTTAAATCCTTTTATAATAAAAACTTTGTTTGATTTTTACCACTGTGCACATGCCTTTTTATGTTACCCCCTCCTTCTGCCCTAGACCAGCCAAAGGGGCCGTAACGCGGGTCTCTTGTGTTTGTCGGCAGGTCGTCTGGTGCGGTGTGTTCGATGCCCGGTGGCTTATCACGCCAATGACCTGTGCATGGCAGCAGGCAGCATGGTGCTCTCCAACAACAGCATCATCTGTCCCAACCATTTCACTCCCCGACGACGGTACAAGAACCACGAACACGTCAACGTTAGCTGGTGCTTTGTCTGCACTGAAGGTAAAACACACCACTTGATAAACACAAACTATTTTTATTACTTTCATAATAAAGTTTCTGGTCTACAGGAGGAAGCCTGCTGTGCTGTGAGTCCTGTCCTGCTGCGTTTCACCGCGAGTGTCTGAACATCGAGATGCCTAAAGGCAGCTGGTTCTGCAACGACTGCAAGGCGGGAAAGAAACCTCGTTATAAGGACATCCTGTGGGTGAAGGTTGGACGCTACAGGTTAGACACGAGCCACAGAAACTCCTTTTCTTCATTTTTACACAACACTGACTTTCGTTTTAAGCACCTGTTCATTTTCCTTTTATGTTTTTAAGATGGTGGCCCGCAGAGGTTAGCCATCCCAAAACCATCCCAGAGAACATCCAGCGGAGGAGGCACGATGTCGGGGAATTCCCTGTTCACTTCTTCGGCTCCAATGACTACCTGTGGACCTACCAGGCCAGGGCCTTCCCTTACATGGATGTGGATGCCAACAGTAAAGAAAAGATGGGGAAAGGTGTTGATGCAACCTACAAAAAAGGTAAGGTAGCTCCTTCTACAATGGGTGTTGTTCCATCTAGCTAATGTGTTGATTTTATTTTGATGTTCTTCGACAGCGTTGGAGGAGGCAGCTGTGAGGTTTCGTGAGCTGCAGGCAGAGAAGGAGCTTCGGCAGCTTCAGGAGGACAAAAAAAATGACAGGAAGCCTCCACCGTATAAACACATTAAGGTCAGATTGAGTTTGTGTGCTAAACACACAAAACATCAGTCAGTGTTTTAATTTCCATAACACCTTTACTAATGTACACCTTTACTAATGTACACCTGCCTAACTCATTCAGGTAAATCGACCAATAGGAAAAGTTCAGATCTTTACTGCCGACCTATCAGAAATCCCACGTTGTAACTGCAAGTCTTCAGATGAGAGTCCATGTGGGATGGACTCAGAGTGCATCAACCGGATGCTGTTGTATGAATGCCACCCTCAGGTATCCACTCACACAGATTCTCGTTTACTAATTAAAGATGCTGAATCTTATCTCAAGTACCACAGCTTCCAATATAGATGCAGATTTGCCTTGTTTGATTTATTTTTCCCACCAGAAAGAAAACTCACAAAATAAAGGAAGTGTTTGTTTGCATGCTCCTTTGGTATACGTAGTAAAGCTGAAGCTATGCTTGTAGGTTTGTCCGGCGGGTGAGCGGTGCCTCAATCAGGCATTCACCAAGCGTCAGTACAGCCAGGTGGAGATTTTCAGGACTTTGTCTCGAGGATGGGGCCTTCGCTGTATCCACGACATCAAGAAGGTGTGCTCAGTTTGGTTACTGGCGCTGCTCCCGACCTCAAACGGAACCTTAGAGGTTTTGATGAATGTTCTCTGTTGGGTTCTCTCAGGGTCACTTTGTGACGGAGTACGTCGGGGAGGTGATCGATGAAGAGGAGTGCAGGTCGAGAATCAGACACGCACAAGAGAACGACATCTGTAACTTTTACATGTTAACTCTGGACAAGGTACTGCAGCTGCAATCCTGCACCAAGAGTAAAATATAAAATCTGGGAGGTTGGTCTTTGAAAAACCCGATCACTAGCCTGGCAGCCCGTCCTATATATACACACTCAACAGAAATATAAATGCAACACCTTTTTTTTTCTGCTCCGATTTTTCATGAGATGGACTTAAAGATCTAAAATTCACTCCAGATAAACAATATTACCATTTCTCTCAAACATTGTTCACAAATCAGTCCAAATGTGTGATAGTGAGCACTTCTGCTTTGCTGAGATAACCCATCCCACCTCACAGGTGTGCCACATCAAGATACTGATCCGACATCATGAGTAGTGCACAGGTGTACCTTATACTGCCCACAATAAAAGGCCACCCTGGAATGTGCAGTTTTGTCTCACAGCAAAATGCCACAGATGCCACAAGTATTGAGGGAGTGTGCAATTGGCATGCTGACAGCAGGAATGCCAACCAGATCTGTTGCTCGTGCATTGAATGTTCATTTCTCCACCATAAGCTGTCTCCAAAGGCGTTTCAGAGAATATGGTAGTACATCCAACCGGCCTCACAACCGCAGACGACGTGTAACCACACCAGCCCAGGACCTCCACATCCAGCAGGTCTCAAAGATCGTCTGAGACCAGCCACTCAGACAGCTGCTGAAACAAATGGTTTGCATAACTAAACAATTTCTACACAAACTGTTAGAAACCGTCTCAGGGAAGCTCATCTGCATGCTCGTCGTCTTCATCGGGGTCTTGACCTGACTCCAGCTCGTCGCCGTAACAGACTTGAGTGGGCAAATGCTCACATTCGACGGCGCCTGGCACGTTGGAGAGGTGTTCTCTTCACGGATGAATCTTGGTTTACATTGTTCAGGGCAGATGGCAGAAAGTGTGTGGCATTGTGTGGGTGAGCGCTTTGCTGATGTCGTTGTTGTGGATCGAGTGGCCCATGGTGGTGGTGGGGTTATGGTATGGGCAGGCATCTGTTATGGTTGAAGAACACAGGTGCATTTTATTGATGGCATTTTGAATCCACAGAGATACCGTGATGAGATCCTGAGGCCCATTGTTGTCCCGTACATCCATGAACATCACCTCATGTTTCAGCAAGATAATGCACGGCCCCATGTTGCAAGGATCTGTACACAATTCTTGGAAGCTGAAAATGTTCCAGTTCTTGCATGGCCAGCATACTCACCGGGCATGTCACCCGTTGAGCATGTTTGGGATGTGCTTGACCGGCGTATACGACAGCATGTACCAGTTCCCACTAATATCCAACAACTTCGCACAGCCAGAAGAGGAGTGGACCAACATTCCACAGGCCACAATTGACAATCTGATAAACTCAACGCAAGAAGATGTGTTGCACTGCATGAGGCAAGTGGTGGTCACACCAGATACTGACCGGTTCTGAGTCCCCAGACCTCCAATAAAGCAAAAAACTGCACATTCCAGGGTGGCCTTTTATTGTGGGCAGTATAAGGTACACCTGTGCACTACTCATGATGTCAGATCAGCATCTTGATGTGGCACACTTGTGAGGTGGGATGGATTAACTCAGCAAAGCACAGGTGCTCACTATCACACATTTAGACTGATTTGTGAACAATGTTTGAGAGAAATGGTAATATTGTGTATCTGGAATGAATTTTAGATCTTCAAGTCCATCTCTTGAAAAATTGGAGCAGAAACAAAGGTGTTGCATTTATATATTTTTTTAGTGTAAATCTATAGCCTGGCCAAGACCTGGAGACAGCTTAGTCATTGGGCAGAACCTCCAGTTGTCTTTTAAACTGTTTCTGCATGCAACTGGACAGCGCTAGGACCAATCAGAACAGCAAACAACCTGATGTATTCATTGCTACGGAAATCATCGGGGCACTGTCAAAGAAGACATCCTCTTTCAAAATAAAGGACTGAAGTATCTCTATCTGCTCCTGTCTTAAGTCTAAATCATCCAAAGTTAATGTCAAAACGAGCACCGTTCCTGAGCCGATGCTATCATTGTAGATTTTCTTCACTGCAGATCTAGTGCTAAGCCCACCCAAGAAACATAGAGCACTGTGACTGGCAAGCCACCAAGCTGTTCGGGCCAATGATAGACCTGCTGAGGCTACAATGGAGCGTGGCTACAGTTTGTCTAGATTTCTAGGCTACAGATCTGTCATACTGAAGTTTATAAAACAAATAAATATAAATGACTGGCTCCTTTAGGCAAGGCAAGGCAGCTTTATATGTATAGCATACATCGTACACAAAGGCAATTCAATGTGCTTTCCAATTGGCAAGAATAGCAAGCACATTAAAAATGAGCATGACAGAAAGTACACACAAATTAAATTTTAAAGAAAGAACAAAATAAAAGGATGAGCAGTTACAGTGCAGAACAGTCATTCAAAGGCTGATGAATACATGAAAGCTTTCAATTTTGATTTAAAAGTCACCAAAGTTGGGGCACATTTGAGGTCATGAGGAAGCTGATTCCATCTGTGTGCAGCATAGTAGCTAAAAGCAGCTTCACCCTGTTTGGTTCTGACCCGAGGTTCTACCAGATCACTGTTTCCCAAGGACTTCAGAGACTTGCTAGGTGTAAATACAGGAAGGAGAACCAAAATGTATTCTGGCCCCATGCCACTGAGTGATTTATAAACCAGTAGAAGCACTTTGAAATCAATTATGTAGTTTACTGGTAACCAGTGTAGAGATTTAAGAACAGGAGTGATGTGGTCGGTTCTCTTGGTTCTTGTTAAGACTCAAGCAGCAGCATTCTGAATAAGCTGCAGTTGCATCACAGGTTTATTGGTAAGACCAGTCAGAAGACCATTGCAATAGTCCAGCCAGCTGGAGATGAACGCATGAATGAGTTTCTCTAGGTCTTGTCTAGACACAAGACCCCTGAGTCGTGCCATTTGATGAAGATGATAAAATGCTGATCTAGTTATAGCCTTAATGTGACCAGTGAAGCTCAGGTCAGAATAAGTTAGGAAACCAAGATTTCTAACCTCGGTTTTTGTTTTTATTCCTCTGGAGGCTAATTGAGCAATAACCTCCGTCCTATCCTTCTTACTTCTAAAGACAATAACTTCAGTCTTGTCTTTGTTTAACTGGAGGAAGTTTGGCTGCATCCAATCTCTAACTTGCTCCAAACACTGGGTGTGAGTCTAGGGGACCACAGTCATTAGGTGATAGAGCTAGGTAGATCTGATCATCAGCATAACTATGATAGGTAATGTTGTTAATGTGTATGACCTGACCCAGGAGGAGCATGTAGATTGAAGAGCAGTGGTCCAAGAATTGAGCCTTGGGGGACTCCACATGGTGATCAGCTTGGATTTGTGATCACCAATAGAAACAACAAAACCCCTGTCTTCAAGATAAGATTGGAACCAACTATGGACAGTACCTGAAAGTCCCACCCAGGTTATGAGCCTATCAAGAAGGATGTTGTGGTCCACAGTATCAAAGGCTGCACTGAGATCGAGCATCATCAGGACAGATGTTTTGCCTGAATCAGAATTTAGATGAATATCATTTAATTATTTAATAATTGCAGTCTCAGTGCTGTGGTGTTGTCTAAAGCCTGACTGAAAACCATCTAGTAGGTTGTTTGTCTCCAGAAAGTTGTTTAGTTGGACCACAACTGTTTTTTCAATAATTTTCCCAATGAAAGGGAGATTAGAAATGGATTAATCTTTAAAAGAAGATTAAATAAAAATCAGAATATTTTCACTTCATGAGACAGAAGAACTGTCTCAGTAAAGCATCAAAGGGTCAAAAAGCTCTTTTGCTTTTTGCAAAATGTAAAAAGTAAACTTCATCACTCGGAAGCAAGTGACATCCTGAGGAACAGATATTTAATGTACCATTGGGTTTAACAAAGGTTTAATGTTTGTGTCAGGACCGAATCATCGACGCTGGTCCAAAGGGAAATGAGGCTCGCTTCATGAACCACAGCTGTCAGCCCAACTGTGAGACACAGAAGTGGACGGTGAGCGGAGACACCCGGGTGGGACTGTTTGCGCTTGTTGACATCACTGCAGGTTTGTTACGACATTTACATTTCAAGATATATATTTTCATCTTCACTCCATCTCCTGATTGTGTTGTTTTTGTTTTCCAGGTACAGAACTCACGTTTAACTACAACCTGGAGTGTCTGGGGAACGGGAAGACGGTATGTAAATGTGGGGCGCCAAACTGCAGTGGCTTCTTGGGTGTCAGACCAAAGGTGAGGCTAAGTACTGGCAGCTTTTTCTAAAATGCACCAACACCCCCCGACTCTTAACTATGACCACGCTCTTGCCTCCAAGCAGAACAACCCTCCGTCTGACGATAAAGGCCGTAAGCTGAAGAGGAGAGGCCCCGGCAGAAGGAAGAAGAAGGTGGTGATGACCAAGGAAAGGGAGGACGAATGTTTCAAGTGTGGGGATGGAGGGCAGATGGTTTCCTGTAAGAAACCTGGATGTCCTAAAGTTTATCACGCAGACTGCCTGAACCTCACAAAGAGACCTGCAGGTCAGACATTTTTACCCATAATACACCTATTTCTCTACTGGGTTATAACTAGGGCTGTCAATCATAAAAATATTTTATTCGTAATTAATAAGAAATGAATAACAAATTATAAATGTGCCATGACACAATATATTTCCTCACAACTTTATATCTACCTCCTGTCACATTTACGCATTGTGTTTAGAGCGCAAGTGCAGAATGCATATTTGCAAGTTTTCTAGCGTTTCAGAGTTTTTCAGGGTTAGCAAGCAACATAATCTTTAAAAATAAAGTTAATTTGCAGAAATATTTGTTGGTGTTAAAGGTCTCATTCAATGAGAAACCATATAATGCATGCTCCTTTTGAAATACAGTCGGTCTGAATATTAACGAGTCTTGCCAGAGAATGCCAGAGCTTTTTTCCACTGAAAATGACTCATAAGGCATTCATTCATACTAGAGATGGCAGCAGATTTACTGAAAAAAAGAGTGATTGAGAGCTTTAAATAGTTAATGCTTCAACACAGTAATAACATGTTAACCTTTCCGGTCTAGTTATAATCCAGAGATAACAGTTACCAAGCGTCTCTGACAGGTATTGTACGATCAGTTGGCACCAAGAGTATTTGAGATTGTGATGGAGAGGGTTCTTCTTTCCCGCCCCTCCAAATGACATCACATAATTAATTCAATTAGATTGTTTTGTTTGTTTCTTTTAGGTCGTTGGGAATGTCCATGGCACCAGTGTGACTTATGTGGTAAAGAGGCGGCATCTTTTTGTGAAATGTGTCCCAGCTCTTACTGCCGCCAGCACAGAGAAGGCCTCCTCTTCATCTCCAAGCTGGACGGCAAGCTGTGCTGCAATGAGCATGACCCCTGTGGGCCGGAGCCCCTGGAGCCAGGGGAGATCCGGGAATATGTACCAGAACAAAGTTCTCAAAACTCTGGGCTGGGCATGGCCGTCCTTCCCTCTGCTGCCTCCAGCGCCACAGACAGCCTCAACCAGACAGGCAGCAGCAACAAGAAGGTTGGCAGGAGCAGCACCAGGAGAGAAACACCCGAGGCTTTTCCTGCATTTTCCATCCCGGTGTCCATCACTGTCCCCATCGCTGCTCCTGCCACCTCTCCATCTCACAGCAGCTCCAGTTCTCCTGGGAGCCCACACGTCTTTGACGTCCCTCACTACTCTCCCATCTCCTCATACGAAGAGGAACGGGATGTGTTAGACGTGGATGAAGAGGAGCTGCTGGCAGAGGAGGAGGAGCTGGTGGAAGAGGGTGAAGTAAGAAGGCAGAAATCAGACACTCAGAAGGAAGATGGAGAGGAGGTGGATCTGGAATACCTTGAGCTCAAAGATGAAGACGACGAGGACGAGGAGGAGGAGGATGAAGATGAAGAAGAGGAGGAGGAGGAGGAGGAGTGATGCACATTTCCAACTCAGTCACTACAGTGAAGTAGCACTTAAAGATGAATCAATCACAGTATCATTTAATGATAAAGTGGATGTACGAAGAGATTTTTAGAAGAAAATAAATCATAAAACAAATAAATTATGAAGCTTATAAAGAAAATATTAACATATAAATATTACGGTCACATCGTGTCATTTGTCCTGGGTTTTTTACTTTTTACCTCATCACACGTGTACAGAATCATCTGGAACTGCTACAAGAACCGTTTAAACCAGTTTCTCTTTGGTATTTTGGATTTTCTTTCACACAAACTTTTCCTCCTACTTTTTCTCCGCTCCAGTATTTTAGGGTTGTTACAAGTCTGATGTGTTTTAGCTTGAATTAAGAGTGCAGGGTGGACTGATCTGTCCATTCCTGGAGTTTTCCATTTCCCAGAACGTTTCTTCACATCCCTACTGGACTTGATCTCATTCTTATGGGACTAGTTGTGGTTTGATTGGACGATGCTGTTGCCGAACATCATGAAAGAGGTTCCACCCAGAACCTGAGCATTGGACTTTAGGAAGAAAATCATGTATCAAGTGAAATTAATTCAGATTATCGACTGGTTTCATCTGTCAGATTGTATTTTACTTGTATGCAAAACTAGATGAATTAGAATGTGGATTTAAATTTGAACTTTTATGTTAAAAGTGGCCAAAAGCCATTTTAAAGCAGCTCATGAGTTAATGATCAGCTCCATGAATAAGACAGACTGAGTCCTTTTGTAAAATAACAGGCCAGATTAAACCAAACACAGGTAGGTGCTCCGGTGTGTTTGCGGTGCTTTCTTGTCATTAAACGCTGTTCTGTGACGCACAAACGAAGGCGAGGGCGAGCTGGCAGATGGAGCTCCGTCTTGTCCTCTTGGACTGGAAGTCAGGTGCTTGATCTGTTCCCGTTTTGTTCTGTCTACAAGCTGAATATTGTCTTTGTGTGTTATCTGCCAATGCCTTAGACTGGATTTGGTCTTGAGATCTTTTTATGGGAAGGATTTTGTGTTTGAGAGCCACATTTCCTTAAAAATGCCTTTCTACAGTCTCCCACCAGTTCATGTCTCGTACCCGGTGTATTTATGATGTCGATCTCAACGACTGACCTGTTCCAACGACTGCTATATAAACACATTTAAAAAAAGGAGATTCTGGCATCTTTTTAGTTCCACCAGTCCACCTCTGATGATGTTTCTGCATGTGTGTGTCGATGTCATGAATCTTTTTATTTACAGCAGATTTCCATCCATCATCTAAACTGCTTAATCATCAGTAGAGTTGTAAGGGACTGGTGACCATCTCTACTGGTCATCTGGTAAGACGAAGGTTACCCTGGATACGGCTCCAGTCCATCACCTCTAGAGTTTATACACTCAACAAAAATGTAAACGCAACACCTTTGTTTCTGCTCCGATTTTTCATGAGATGGACTTAAAGATCTAAAATTCATTCCAGATACACAATATTACCATTTCTCTCAAACATTGTTCACAAATCAGTTTAAATGTGTGATAGTGAGCACCTGTGCTTTGCTGAGTTAATCCATCCCACCTCACAGGTGTGCCACATCAAGATGCTAATCTGACATGAGTAGTACACAGGTGTACCTTATACTGCCCACAATAAAAGGCCACCCTGGAATGTGCAGTTTGTTTTTGTTTATTCATTTAGGAGATGCTTTTATCCAAAGCGACTTACAATTTATTACATGTAGGGCATGTTGTGATCTGTGGGGGAAACCGCAGTTTTGTGCTTTATTGGGGGTCTGGGGACTCAGACCCGGTCAGTATCTGGTGTGACCACCATTTGCCTCATGCAGTGCAACACATCTTCGCATAGAGTTTGTCAGCTTGTCAATTGTGGCCTGTGGAATGTTGGTCCACTCCTCTTCAATGGCTGTGCGAAGTTGTTTGATATTAGTGGGAACTAGTACACGCTGTTGTATACGCCGGTCAAGCACATCCCAAGCATGCTCAACGGGTGACATGTCCGGTGAGTATGCTGGCCATGCAAGAACTGGAACATTTTCAGCTTCCAACAATTGTGTACAGATCCTTGCAACATGGGGCCGTGCATTATCTTGCTGAAACATGAGGTGATGTTCATGGCTGTACGGCACAACAATGGGCCTCAGGATCTCATCACGGTAACTCTGTGCATTCAAAATGTCATCAATAAAATGCCCCTGTGTTCTTTGTCCATAACAGATGCCTGCCCATTCCATAACCCCACCACCACCATGGGCCACTCGATCCACCACATTGATATCAGCAAAGCGCTCACCCACACAATGCCACACACTTTCTGCCATCTGCCCTGAACAATGTAAACCGAGATTCATCCGTGAAGAGAACACCTCTCCAACGTGCCAGACGCCATCAAATGCGAGCATTTGCCCACTCAAGTCTGTTACGGCGACGAGCTGGAGTCAGGTCAAGACCCCGATGAGGACGAAGAGCATGCAGTTGAGCTTCCCTGAGACGGTTTCTGACGGTTTGTTCAGAAATTGTTTGGTTATGCAAACCAAGTGTTTCAGCAGCTGTCTGAGTGGCTGGTCTCAGACGATCTTGGAGGTGAACCTGCTGGATGTGGAGGTCCTGGGCTGGTGTGGTTACACATCGTCTGCGGTTGTGAGGCCGGTTGGATGTACTGCCATATTCTCTGAAACGCCTTTGGAGACGGCTTATGGTGGAGAAATGAACATTCAATGCACGAGCAACAGATCTGGTTGGCATTCCTGCTGTCAGCATGCCAATTGCACGCTCCCTCAATACTTGTGGCATCTGTGGCATTTTGCTGTGAGACAAAACTGCACATTCCTGGGTGGCCTTTTATTGTGGGCAGGATAAGGTACACCTGTGCACTACTCATGATGTCGGATCAGCATCTTGATGTGGCACACCTGTGAGGTGGGATGGATTATCTCAGCAAAGCAGAAGTGCTCACTATCACACATTTGGACTGATTTGTGAACAATGTTTGAGAGAAATGGTAATATTGTGTATCTGGAATGAATTTTAGATCTTTAAGTCCATCTCATGAAAAATCAGAGCAGAAACAAAGGTGTTGCGTTTATATTTTTGTTGAGTGTACATGCACACATTGTCTTCTGTGTCTCCTGGTTGGACGTGCTTGGAACACCTCAACTGGCTCCTATGTGGAGGAGCAGCAGGTCTACTCCGAACATGCTAACGCTGCGCGGAGGCCATAAAAGGTGGGATTTGAACCTTCAACTTTCTTGCTGCAAGTCAACAGTGCCACCAGCATGCATCCCAGTTGGTCGGATAGATCCATTAGATGATCTCAAATTTAAACATGGAAGATGGCTCACTTTCCCTCCAATTCAATTCAAAAATACTTTATTGATCCCAGAGGGAAATTGATTGCTGTAGTAGCTCAGAATAATAATAATAATCAAGTCGTCAAAGAGTTGTACATTACAATGGCTGTTGGCAGGAAGGATCTCCAGTAGCGGTCAGTGTTGCAGCGAAACTGAAGAAGCCTCTGACTGAAGACACTCTTCCGTTGTCGGACAGTCTTGTGAAGAGAATGCTCAGGGTTGTCTATAATTTTCCTGATTCTCTGGAGAATCCTTCTTTGCATTATCTCCTCCAGTGGTTCCACAGTCGTCCCCAGAACAGAACTAGCCTTTTTTGTTAGGCTGTTGAGCCTTTTCAGGTCCCTGCTTCTGATGCTACTACCCAACAGACGATAGCTGAAGAGATTACACTCTCAACAACAGACTTGTAGAAGATCTGCAGCATCTTGCTACAGACACTGAAGGACCTACGCATTTTCAAGAAGTGCAGTCTGCTGTGTCCCTTCTTGTAAACGGCTTCGCTGTTCTTTCTCCAGTCCAGTCTGTTGTCCAGGTGAACGCCAAGGTATTTGTATTCCTCAACCACCTCCACTTCTTCTCCCATGATGGAAACAGTGTTTGACTCCACCCTGTTTCTTCTGAAGTCTGAAATCATCTCCTTTGTTGTGTTCACGTTCAAGGTCAGATGATTGTTTCCACACCATTCCACAAAGCGCTCCACAGCTTTCTGTACTCAACTTCCTGTCCATCTCTGATACACCCGACAACTGCAGAGTCATCTGAGTATTTCTGTAGATGACAGGTCTCTGGTTTGTACTGGAAGTCTGAGGTGTACAGGGTGAAAAGGAATGGTGAGAGTACAGTCCCCTGTGGTGCTCCAATGTTACTGATCGCCTGGTTTGATGTGCAGTTCTTCAGCCTCACAAACTGTGGTCTGTTTGTCAGGTAGTCTTTAATCCAGGCAATAGTTGAGGCCCCCACCTGTGTCTTCTGGAGTTTCTGGCAAAGTACATCAGGCTGGATTGTGTTAAATGCACTGGAGAAATCAAAGAACGTGACCCTCACAGTGCTGCCTGCTTTGTCCAGATGACAGTGGGTTGGCTGAAGCAGCTGGATGATGGCATCTTCAACTCCAACTCCATGGCGATAAGCAAACTGCAGCGGGTCCTGATATGTTCTAGTTTGCTTATTCAGGTGGACCAACAGGAGTCTCTCCAGGACCTTCATGATGTGGGATGTCAGGGCAATCGGTCTGTAGTCGTCATTGACTGATGGGCGAGTTTTCTTTGGAACTGGAACAAGGCAGGATGTCTTCCACAGGACTGGAACCTTCTCCTGGGCCAGGCTGAGGTTGAAGAGGTGCTGCAGAATCCCACAGAGCTGCTCTGCACAGACCTTCAGTACTCTGGGGCTGACACCATCTGGACCTGCAGCCTTGTTCCTGTTCAGTCTCTCCAATAACACACTAGTCTCTTTTAAACAGCCTTTAATTAAAAATGTGCATCAAAATCTCATGAAAAACGTCAAAACAACAGAATGTTCATTTACTTCCCCCTCATGTCCATCTTGCAGCACAACTCAAAAGAGGCGATAATAAATTAGCATCGGTGTGGGAACACTGAGCAGTTTTTACATCATTTACACAGAAAGCTTTTTCCTGTTGGTCAAAGCGGAGGTTTCCTCACCCAGCTAGAGAACTGAATCCATCTTTGAGAAGACGATTGCTTTGAAAGCTTTTGCAACCTGGGTTTTTAACAGCATGTGGGTTTTTCAATCAGGCAGATGAGCTCATGCGAGATAATTACTGTACAGAGATGAACATTTTACTAACGTCCACCTTAAAACAGGCTTTGTTTTATAATATTTTAACAGAATCAGATTATGATTCAAATATACAAACTATAAAATTAGTGTTTTCATTCTGTATTTTAACTGTTAATCAGACTTCGGTTTGCGTTTTACATTATGCTCGCGCTGACGAACCGATCCGGCTGAAATCATCCCTCCAAACTATTTTTGCCTTCCAGCTAAAACGAGTAACTTCAGGCAAACGTGAGCGACCTCTTGGCCGAGTGCTGAGTCAGCACTTTTACATCCATAACGTCACGTGGCAAAAAGTACATCAACACAAACCCCACTGATGGAAACGCCTCTAAAGAGAATATTGGTACCTTCATTAAAATTAGAGTGTTGTCTGATGATGAATCCTATTAGCTTACCCGCAACTGGAGGTAAATAAATAACCTGATGTAAACAATTCGTCGTGAGGTTTTCTGCCTCTGTTTCAGCATCTTCTTCACAGCCTCTGATAGTGAGACTGTGAGACTCAGAGGAATGGCGATAAAACACGAGGGGAAAGTCTTCCTCAGCACTTGGTTTCAGAGCAGCACACCCTGCTCTGTAAAACTCTGCAGTCTTTATGGCACAAAAGAAACAAACAGTATGTGACAAAGAGCACTGGTTGGTTTCTGTTTGGGGACAGATTCATCTTTTTTGGGATATCAAATCCTAAAATCTCAGCCTTCCAGCAAAGGTTGAACGTCTGTTTCTCTTCCTCCTGTTGTTCTGGATCAGTTGTTGTGGCAGCAGCTGTAGAAGAAGGAGTCTTTCTTCTGGCCCAAGTCAACGCCTGCTTCCTCTGATGACACAAAAAAAAACAATCATGGGTTTTTAAGATGGAAAACAGCAGGAAAAATGTTATTAGTGTCGCTAAAACTGAGACGTTTTAAGCTCACCGGTCATATACTGGAAAGACGATTCGTTGTAGTCCACAGCCACCTTCTGGAAGAGTTCATCTGTAAAACAAAGCCTCCATCAGTTCCTACAGAACAGTCAGTCTGATGAGAGAGGCTCACACTTTTACCGTCAGCCAACTACTTCAGCTAATGAACTGTGACCATCTTCAGCACAATAAAGGCCGTTCTAAAGCCCAGCATCCTCGTGACTTTAAACCCTGACTGAACAGAACCGTGACATCCTCTTTCTCCATCCTTCTGCTTCCTGTCTGGGTCGTTTCTTTCCCCTTTTAAAGACTCTTTTATGTGTCGTTCCACATTTATTACTCACAAAAATGCTGCCAAAGAGCCAGAAGCCCCCATCTAACAATCTAATTCTGTCTACTCTTTTAAGTTACATCATCTCAGTGGTAGAAAGTCATCAGGAGGACTTGTAATAAGCAAAAAAGGAGGTAATAAAGTATTTAACAAAACACACTGATTTTCATCTTATGACACCTTTTTAAATCAGATTAGACTTACCCACGTTCCTTCCTGTTTTACTGGAAGTCTCAAAATGCTGCGCTCCGATCTCTGTAACAAACACGTTATTCATCCGTTAGGAGCCCGTTTAGCTATAGTTGACTTTTGTTTGAAGTAAAAGTTGATCGTTGCTGGTTTGATGTCTTAACAGAATCTAAGTGAGCAGCGACATTTGCTCAGAGTTTCCAAAAGGTCTTAAAACATTCTGGAAGTTGTTTATTTGTGTCTTCGTGTGGTGATCTGCTGCAGCAGGTGGGTGAGATACCGGCTTTGAGGAGTTTATTAGACGTGACCTTTGACCCCTAACTTATTTACTGAAAGCTTAAAAAAAATAATGGTGCATCACATTATTAAAGATTGTTCACCTTCAGCGAAGTCCTGCGCGTCGTGGTAGTCGATCTGACGCAGACTTCTGTCTGCTTCTATCAGGTCGTTCTTGGTGCCGCACAGATATATCTTACAGTGCTGCCGGGTGAAAAACACCCGCTTAGATTAAAATCTAACATGCTTGATTAAGTATGATAATCATACGCATCGTAATTTACCTCCTCGCAGTTTTGCAGCTCGTTCACCCAGAACTTTGCTCGTTGGAAGCTGCTGCTGTCGGTCAGATCTGGAAGACAAAACAACCAAAGTTCACAGAGAACTTGGGAAAGAAATCTGAAGAAGGAATCACAGAGAAAGCAGCTTGAACACTGAGGGGTAAACAATCCACACACAAAAAAGATGGAAGTTAAGAAAGAAGAATAAAACGTGACGGCAGTCTGAGTAATCTGGGAAAGGCCACAGGTTATTTTAGAGACAAAGTTCCCTAACGTGGACGGCGGGTTTACCGTAGCAGACGATGGCGGCTCGAGCTCCTCTGTAGTAGATTCGACTCATGGCTTCGTAACGCTCCGATCCAGCTGTGTCCTGAAGAAAAAAAATATATAGAATATAAAAAATATGTCAACGTATCTACTTCCTGTTCATGTAAACGTCATGAAAATTAACATCAAGCTCACCCATATTCCCAAAGTGATCACCTTCTCTGCCACTTGGATTGGTTTGGCTACAAAAGCAGCACCGATCGTCTGTCAGGAGGAACAAACACAAACACACACGTGTGATTTAACGTAAGACCCTGATGGGCAGAAATACTCCCTCCTGTTGGCTGATATCTATTCAGTCACATGATCGCTGACTGATCAAATTCTCACGTTTTATTATCAGATCATGTGTCAGACTGACAAAGAATGCTAAAACATCTCACAGTTGGATTATTTGTAAGAGACTACAATCATGTTCTTCTGCTTTAAAAACCCTGATCAAAAAAATAAGGAAATGCTTTTTTATTTTAATTAAAAAAGTTATTTAATCATGTAGCCAACAAATTGATCAATTATTACTGATGAAAATGAACATTTATGACTCAGTTTCTAATAAATGTTTAATAATTCCTGATTTTAACTGATTACATGATATTTACTGTTTTATTTTAAAAGCATTTTGACTTGTTTTGTTTTGTTGGCACTTTGAGATTCTCTTCTGTGATTACTTACTTTACTTACTAAATCCATTACTGATTTTAAAAACCCGTCAACTCTTCTTGTGTTTAGACCATCGCTTAGACAGACTTTAGCAGATGTTTGCTTTCAGATGGTGCATTCAATGACAAATGGAAAGCGTAAGTTCCCTCCTTTGGCCTGATAAAGGCAATATTGAGTCTTTCTTTATTAAAAACTGACTATTTCTTCTTGAAGGAAAAGATCAAATTGCTGATTGAGCATGCAGTAGATCCCAAAGCAAATGGTTGTGATTTCCTAATACTGAGGAACAGTGAATGCAACTTGATTAGAAGTTGGGTGGAGAAACAAAGACGAGGAGGATTTTCTCTGAAGGTCACAGAAATCTGCAAGTCTAAGATTAACTCAGGATCTACGTAAACACACAGACCTTAGTTTAGCATCTAGAAGGAAACCTACCCAGGGCTGAAACCTTAAGTGTGTGTGTGTGTGTGTGTGTGTGTGTGTGTGTGTGTGTGTGTGTGTGTGTGTGTGTGTGTGTGTGTGTGTGTGTGTGTGTGTCAAAGAGACTAAGAAGCAGAGCAGCTGACACTCACATTCTGGTATGGGCCGACCAGGAAGCGATGATGAACGTATCTCTCCACCAGACTCGTCTTGCCTACGCTCTCCTTTCCCAGCATCACCACTTTAGCATCCACGCGCATCGCACTCATGATGATAGGAAAAGTGTGTGTGTGTGTGGGGGGGGGGGGGGGGCTGATTTCCACTAGGTTTTTCAGTACGCTGCCTGATAGGAAGGAAAGGCACACAACAGTTAGATGCTTGTCATGAGAGACAAAAACACAAAGGATGTAAACAATCTGCACGTATTTAGAGTCAGTGTCCATGATGGCAAATTTTAAACTATAGATATGTATTTCCTCATGTTCACACAATAATCTAATAGATTGTAGATGATGAAGCAAAATTTCAACAAAAAAAACCTTAATCTTTCATTTTTGTCTCATAAATTGAACCTATGGGTAAGAGCTGAGTATAATAAGATCAATATGTTTGTTTCACAGCAGCTGATTAAAGAGAAATTATCAATAAAAGCAACATATTCTAAGAAAATTCCTCCTTTCTTTTTGTTTTGCTTCCATGAAAACGAGATTACCTAATCTTCTAAAGTAATTTTAATCAATAATTCTTCGGTGTTTTAGATTTTTCTTTAGGGATAATCCATCTGAAATCTTTTAAATAACCTTTCCAGATTGTTCTGTTATTTTTTATTTGATGGGGCTGTGATCCTGTTTCTGTGAGCTGAGAGGGGTAAACATGACACAGCCAAAAACATCAGCTGGGCATTGACACATCTCAGCTAGCTTAGCTAAAGGTTAAAAACAGTGGAAAACTCACCCGGTTTCTACTCAGCAAATCCCTCTCGACATCTGATTCCCTCCGAACAGAAACCGAACCGAGACCGTCTGACACCCGCCTGCTAAACCCGTCTGAAAGCCGCCAGCCCGCTGTTCATCTCTGCCCGCCGCGCGTGGAGCCCAGCTGGTGTCTGGATCCCGGGGCGGGCTGCTAGCTCCGGTAACTCGGTGGTGTCACTGTGGCGCATAGGCTGAGTTTACTAGAAAAAAGGTCAAAGAGCGAGTCTCACAGAAGTCATTTAGAAACGTCCGGTTTACTCAACCAGGGCTGTCTCCACAGACGGCACAGCGCTACGTTTATGGGGGAGAAAGTCCCTGTTGCCTGTTTGGGTGGGAACCAACAAGCGGACACTGCCAGTTTCCGGGAGCCGGAAGTGGCTGAATGACCACCGGAAGTTGGAAAGCATTGGAATTGTTTCCCAACATATTTTTATTCCACATTATTGTTAGCAGGTGACATTGCATTGCTTCTTGTCTGTGGTTGCAAAACGATCAAAACTGTGTTTAAACAGGCGTGTCCAAAATGCAGTTCTGGGGCCTTTCTGGGCCCTCAGAGTGATTCGGTATGGCCCTCATTTGCAAGAATAGTAACAGCAGGCTGTTGATGCAGAGGCAAACGTCATCAAATTTTGATGTTTCAGTAAATTGAAAAAAATGTAATGGAAAAGGTTAAGTCTCATCCAAAGTGGTTTTTATTAACCCGCTTTTTATTATTATTTAATTTAACAGTAAACCAGACCAGAAACACCCACTGACTTGTGAAAATCATTCATAATTTTTTTTTATTAAATCCAGCAAACACAACTGAAGATTGAGTGACCCTGGTCCTTTTTCTTGTAGCTGATAATAGACTAAATTTTACTTTTTATATGTGCATATGCAGTGGGAGTGGTGCCAGTGGGAGGGCTAGAACTGGGCCAACGAGCTTTTAACAGATTCACCCCCCCCCCCACCACCACCACCACCCCACACACACACACACACACACACACACACACACACACACACACACACACACACACACACACACACAGCTGCAACAGGTACCACCACCACTTCTCCACTCAGCCTAATCTCCCCCAACCACCAAATTCCACAAAACAGTTCCCAAAACATCACATCCCAAGGAACTGGACAACTACAGACCAGTCGCCTTGATCTCCCATCTGATGAAGACCATGGAGAAACTTAACCTCACCCATCTATGTTCAGTGGTGAGCCCGGAAATAGACCCACTGCCATTTGCATATAAACCAAACATAGGCGTAGAAGACGCCCTCCTCTACCCTGCCTTCAACACCATCCAGCCGTGTCTTCTGCAGCAGAAGATGAGGGGTGCAGGAGTGGACAATATCTGACTTCATGGACCATTGACTACCTCACCGACAGGCCACAGTTTGTGAGGCTCCACAACTTTGCATCTGAGGTGGTTGTGTGCAGTGCAGTGTGCTCCACAGGGTACAGTACTCTAACCTTTTCACCTTCTACACCTCAGACTTCATCTACAACACCAGCAACTGTCACCTCCAGAAGTTCTCTGATGACTCAGCCATTGTCGGCTGTGTGTCTGAGGGGAATGACCTGGAATGACCTGGAATAAGGTCAGTCATCATGGACTTTGTGGGCTGGTGAGAGCGTAACCACCTTCAATTGAACACCAGTAAGCCAAAAGAAATGGTGATTGACTTCCAGAGAAACATTTCTCCTCACTCACCAGTGAACATCCAGGGTGCAGACATTGAGGTGGTGGATACCTTTAGGTACCTGGGTGTTCACCTCAACAGTTAACTGAACTGATCCCACAACACAGATGCTCTGTATAAGAAGGGCTAAAGTTGCCTCCACCTCCTGAGGACACTGAGGTCCTTTGGAGTTTATTCCCAGCTGCTAAAATCCTTTCATCAGTTTGTGGCTGGCTCTGTTATCAACTCTGCTGTGGTCTGTTGGGATGCAGACAGCTCTGAAAAAAAAAACCCTGCTGAAAGCTCACCTGTTCAAGATGGCTTTTGTGTGAACTTCATCACCAGCCTCCTTATTCTGCTTTCTACCTACTCTGCCTTTCCCGGGATCCACTGAATTCCCTCTTTCCTATTCATTTTCTCTTTCCCTTTCCTTACATATTTAATCACACTTTTTCCCATTTTAACCATATCTTTTATTCATTAAAAAAAATCTTTTTTATACTTAAAATTTTTTGTTCCTGTGTATCTTGTGATTTTTATCTTTAGAGGCTTAAAAACTTTGCTTGGATGCTGTATGTGAGGGATTTTCTCGATATTTTCACACGTTTCGATAGGTTTCTCCATTAATTTCATTTTCGAAACTAATAAATAGAAATCTACTTTATTTCACATAACACCTTGGTAAAACAGTGTTTGCCATTCACTTAATTTGATTGGTTTAAAGAGGGACCACGTGACAGCAAAATTGATCGGTGATTGGTCAGATTGTCATAAGTCTTTCCCAATTCCAACAACACACACACGGTAGTCAAAGGAAGAAAGAAGGCAACATGGCTGATTCAGAGGGAGGCGAAGTAACTTATGCAGGAATTTTTCAGGAAATTTTTACGTCCCCACTGAACCTAACCCTACTCAGCCTCTGTTTGTTCCTGCTGTACAAAATCTTCCGCGGGGACAAGCAGCCGGAGCTCGGCGAGGTGGAGAAGCCTCTGCCTAAACTGAAAAAGAGGGATTTCACCCTGGCAGAAATGAAGCCCTACGACGGACTGCAGGACCCACGGATTCTAATGGCCGTTAACGGGAAAGTTTTCGATGTGACCAGAGGCAAGAAGTTTTACGGTCCAGGTAAAGGCACACGTCCTGCTCCTTCCGCCTGTGTAACGAGCCACCGTAAACTGTTTAAAAAAACAACTTTTAAGTTATTATTGTGGTCCACCAACGAACATAGTATTTTATTTTTAGTTTAGTTTTCCCTAATAAAAAATTATCATCTGTTGACTTTTACTGCTGGGATTTGGCGCCACACCCCCTTTGTTATGCTAGCAAGGGTCGCCTTTTTCATTTGGAGGGGCCGCAGGCAGCCTTGGAGCCACAGATCGTCTGTGAGGAAGAGGAGCTCTCCTATTAAAACAACTTAAACCCTTAAGGGCTTTATTTTTGGCCCACAAACCTTTCAGATCATATGCTCGTGAAAGATCTCAGTCATCCAAGTCATGGTTAATCCTACTTGGCTCAAATAAATACAGCGTGCATGTGTGCCCATGTTTTCTACGGAACAAAAGTGACATTAGTTTAATAGAAATAGTGAATAACAATTATACTGAATTCTAAAATGTCAAAAAACCTTAAAATGAAGCTGTATATGATCCTTGAACCTGCCAGGTTCCACTGTGGCATTCCTGCAAACCGACACTGAGTTGCACTTTGTTGTTTTTATCTTATCCCAGATTGTGACCTCTGCTGTGTGTAACCTCTGACCAACATGATTAACTAGCTGTTCTACTACATTCTGCACCAGCCAGAAATCCTGTTTATTCATCAAATGTTGCATTAAAAACAAACTATTTGGCACAATTTGTGTCTAAACCAATCACCGTACATATATCTTTAGTCTTGAACTTCCCTTAAGTGGCAGAATGCCTGGAGTCTGCCATACCTGGTAACCAGCATGTGGTATTATTATTATTTTTTATTATTTAATTCTGAATTTGCATGCTTAAAGTGAAATTTGTTCTACAGGAAGAATGCAAAAGTAAAAAGGAACTTTTGAACAGCTGCAACAGCTTCTGAAATAGAAAAGGTGTCTCGTGTTGTAACATGTTTGAATGGCAGCCAAATGCTTTTTCCTGGGGAGATCTCTGGATTAAACTGAGATTAAAACTTGTAGTTGTTTATTATGGAGAAAACAAATTGTTTTGATCTATCTGGAAGCACAGATCTCTTCAATTTTCTGTTTTACTTTTTCTATTGCCTTGGTGAAGATGCTGTCCTTGTTTTTGCTGTTCTGCAGAGGGACCATATGGGGTGTTTGCAGGCAGAGATGCATCTCGGGGTCTGGCGACTTTTTGCCTGGACAAGCAGGCCTTGAAAGACGAATATGATGACCTTTCAGACCTGGACTCCATGCAGCTGGAGAGCCTGATTGAGTGGGAGTCTCAGTTCACAAGTGAGTTATGCAACACAATCAGATGTATCTGCTTACAAAGATTGCTGTGCAAATGCCTTGCCATAATTTTTCTAACGTTTTGTCCTTTGTTGCAGTGAAATACGACTATGTTGGCAAGCTTCTGAAGCCCGGAGAGGAGCCGACAGAATACACCGACGACGAAGAGGGAAAAGACAAGAAGGCCGACTAGGATGTGACCAAAAGGAATCGATGAGAGACGCCTTAATGTTTGTAATTTGACATTTATGGTCTTCTTTTACTGTCATTCACACAAAACATTCCCATATTCTTTACACATTCGTGTAAATCTGGACCAATCCTGGATTTTACATGTCAACGTGATATATTTTTCCCAAGGGCATTACCAGTTCGATATGCTGTATTCTAATGTAGACACGAGTAGTTTAGAGATGTGAATTGTCCATTTAAATATTGATTCTACAGAAAAATCATGTGCTTTATGAAGCAGCTGATCTACTAAAGTTTTTGACATTTCTGCTCATCACATCCTCCAAGTTTCATTGTCTTATTGAGTAATAATATTTTGCAATGTGGAATTTTTGTTGATTGTCACAGTTAAATGAAAGGTTTTAGATGGGCTGTCAGTAAGAGGACTATGTGAAAGAATCTTGTTTTGATTTTTATAAACAAAAGGAGAAAGATGACCTGACATTGTTGCACAGTCACATTTAACCTGTCTGCTTTCTCTAATGATCAGAGACAATCATGTTTTTCTGCAGCCTATCGGATAGTGTTATAAACCTTTATTTAATTTTAGCCTCCTAAAATTTCAGAATTTGCTGCTTTTTACAAAACAATTGAAATGTGATATAGACTAAAATACAAGCAAGCGTTTAATCATAATTTTTAGCTTTAGACATGATGTCTCTTAAGTCTCAATGCTAAGAAGTTGTTTTATTTCAACACCCATGATGACTTAAGGGCTGCCATCAGTTTGTGGTTTTAAACCAGCTGAATAAAGACTTTACATTAATCTTTTATTCATTTTGTTGCTGTTTTCTACCACTCTGTTAAACACTAAACGTGTGCTGGTGCAGTTCAAACCCCCTCCCAGCTAGTTAACCCATTTTATCTGCTCAGTAACCATCATAAATCAGGCTAGACTGTCTGAGAACATATGTCACAAACCAGCATTTTAAGCTCAAAAGACTTAAAAAAAATAGGTATAACTGATTAATGAAATCCAACAGAATGTCTGAGGACTTCTGATGGAGAATTGTATATTTTTCTGACTTTGTGCTGATATTTTACCATCATCTGTAATTTGTCATTAAATGAAGGAAGGTGTTTTTAGTATTTCTGTACAAACTACTTAGTCATGCTGTCATAATGCTCAAATGATATTTTGATTTAATAAAGAAAGCTACAAAACAAACACGTGAAAGTGTCTTTATTAAAATTGTTTGTGAATAATGCTGCATGCGGTCAAGTTAAAATACTTGTGTCTATTTAAAACTAAAAACCTATGAGAAATATTTTAATGTTTCATTTTATTATGCTCATACTGAGCCAGGTTATATTGGAGGTTTCTTCCTGTTAAAATGGAGTTTTCTTCTCCACTGTCACTATATGCTTGCTTAGTAGATTGCTGTAAAGTCTGTCAAGTCAGTCTCGATGCAATCTGCAGGGTTTCCTTACATAGGAAACTTTGTACTAATTGGCTTAATGAACTGAAATCAATTGAAATGTTTACTTTGTGACGTGCATTGAGATGACTTGTGATTTGGCGCCATATAAATAAACTGAAGTGAATATTGTTTAAAAAGATTGATATAAAAATGGAAAGCGGCTGCTATTTAAAAGTTAGTGTTAAATATTGTTTCACGTTTTTTTTCCAATACATGCTTTTAGAATATTAGGCAATAGTTGAATTGTTCGCTTCACGGAATAATATATAAATCCGCGAGAAAACTGAAAATATATGTGTCAGAAGTGGGATTCGAACCCACGCCTCCATTCGGAGACCAGAAGTCCCGTACACGGGGAAGGTTTGTGTCCTTGAGTCTGGCGCCTTAGACCACTCGGCCATCCTGACACTGTTAACATGCTAGTTCGATTATTGAATATTAATCACTCTACAACGATATGTGTCTGATTTGTTAGTTTGAAATATTATACATAACTATTTACATATGTCCTTTGTTTCCACGTATTATGTCGCCTAATTTTACCGTTCGAATTTGTGCCCAAGCCCATTATAAAAGCCCCGATAATGCTGCTTTAAGGTACCGTGAGCAGACTTGGAACAATGATTTGCAAAAGTGCAGCTGTGGTATTCTATGACAACAGTAATTCTCATCCTTATTGAATCAGTTGATTCAACCTAATAAATCTTTGATGCAATACGCTTATATACGTTGTCAGTTTTCTATAAATAAATAAAAAGTCGCTGATTTTTTTCACCTGACTACTTATCAATTCAATTTTACTACACAACTTGAACGCTGCAGCTTCCGTTGTATATATTTGCAGCAGCCATATTGTATTTCTGTCCGTCAAGGGTATCGGAAGGCACAGAGCAAGACAACATGTACGGCTTTGCAAAAGCTACAGTCAACCTTAGCGGTAAACATTCATTTCAAATTACAATGAGTCTATAATTGTACCAGTCACCTTTTCAGTCTGAAGTCGACAGAAAATCTGATGGCCTCTTTGGTTGGTGACCGTGTTCAACGTGCTGTTAGCTAGCTAACATTAGCATGTCCTAAAGAGTCGGCTATGTTTTAAAAGCTCAATTTTATGTAGCTGAATGTTCTGGATCGTCAGTCATGAGAAAAAGCAAACATTCGCTATTTAAACGGTTTAAAAATACATTTATAATTGCGGTAGCTTTATGTGATTCGCTGACCTGTTTAACTTTGAGCAATTTGCTTGTAATTTCCGTTTCTTTGTGAAACTGTAACACCGTAAAGTGTTTTGGAAATTTTCATTTGGATTATTTTGCGCCGGCAAAACTTTAGTCTGCCGGCGCGGCGTTAACGAAGACAGAAAGGGATATTGGATTTCCTAAATAGGCCTGAATCTATTTACAAAGAAGGATTTTGCTGCTTAAGGGTAGAAAATGTGATATTCTTTTTTTTAATGCTATATTTCTTACCTATCTGACAACTATTTATATGTGACAATCTTATTCCTGCTTTTATGACTGTCATTGTATTAAATGATTTTGCATCACTAATGGGTTTCATTCTCAAGAGCCAACTTATTAGTCATTTTAGCAATGAATGGATGAATGTATAGTTCATTTATTTACTCCCAAATCCATTCTTTATTTGAATCTCCAAGGCATTAAATGTAAATGTTGGTATTAAGAGGAGTGTTATTACATAAGGCCTGTTTTGTTGTTGATGTTTAGGCCAAGCGGTGAGGCATGTGAGACATGGATCCACTGTCTCCAAGGACTTCCACTCAAAGTATGGCACAGTCGTGTTGCTAGGTGGAGCAGCCTTCTGCACAACTGTGTGGGGATATGTAAGTCGTAACACTTCGCCACCAGTGACGAGCATAAGCGCAGACTCTTCAAGCATTCAGATTTTATGTAACATTTAACAAAGGAGAAAACAGTTCTCCTCAGGGTTACAGTGTAGGAAGTAACTGTGTGTCCCTATCATCGACATAAATATACTGGACACCTCCTTTCCATAGGCTCCAATATCACGTTTTTGAGGCCAAATGGGAGGTGACCGTGTCACAGGTTCCGTCAAGCTCAGACATTTCCACAAAAGGGAAGAGAGGAGGAGCTGAGGGTGTGGCTGTAAGGCTGGGATCAACTGACGACACCCGGTCGAACTAGCTACAAGCTAACCTGAAGCTAACCCAAAGCTGACGCGGAGGTGGGAGCTAAGCTAACGGAGGTAGCAACCTAGCTACAACCGGAGTTAACTGTGCACAACACCAGAGCTTCTGAGTCAGAGATACACCGGGCTGACCGCTGGGTAAAACCGGGTGGAACACCGAGGTCTCCGAGACCTCCACAAGCTGTCAGCCGCACAGCAGACAAGCGCCGCTGAGATCTGAGAGCTGCCGCTGGGGAGAACCGGGTGGAAAGGTTTCCATCCCAGAGCTCCACAAGCCGGCAGCCCGCGCAACAAACAGAAGCCGCGATCAGACAGAGATGCGCCGAGCTGCCGGGAGACCCAGCCGGCATTCCGCGCAGCAAACAGAAGCCGCGAAGCCAGGGGAGAAACGGGTGGAAAACAGAGATCTCCCGAGAGCTCCACAAGCCGAAAGTCCGAACCCAGCTCCACCAACATGTTATATTTCAACCCATTTTCTAAAGTGCAGCATTATGTTAAATGCACTGGGTTTTACCCTATTACATTTAAATTTCATGGTTAAACAGTACATGTTAAAATCTAAGCTCAGCTCGGCAGTGACCTAAAATACATAAATATAATTTTACTTACCGAAAAAAATGAAGTGGAGACTCCTTGGACGCTCTGTTAGTGCAATTAATGCCACAGCAAGTCATTTTGTCCAACAATTGCACAAAAAATATCCAAAAAAGAATACACAAACACAGAGACTCAAAATGCCGGAGCAGTTTCCAAGCCAGACCGAGGCTCTACTGAGGCCTTTCCACGGAGCTAGCTCTGTGGTCACGTGGGTCTGAGGCGGCGGCGGTCACGTGTGTCTGATGCTCCTTAATTATACAGAATTTTAGGCTTTTAATACACTTAAACAGAAGAGTGAGAAAAAAATCACCCCCCTCAGAGTTGTCATGAGTGTAAACTAGATAATTTAAACAAAAAACATGTTTTGGTACCAGGCTGTAAACATGTTTATTTCTGCTGTGAAATTGGTATTTTTAACATGGGAGTCAATGAGGATTTGCTCGCTTCTGACACCAGCCCCCAGCGGATGAGGGTGGAACTGCATTTTTGGTACTTCCGGGTTGGCCTCAATTTTAGAGCTCCATTGTGGGGGCTTGGTCCCTATGGAGTTGTGGTTTGGATACCTGGGAACATGAATCAGCGTTTCCACCTCCTTAGGACTGGTGAATAGAGTACTGTTTATGTGAGGTACTGCATACGTGACTACATGAACATCCGTCGACGAAGCTGAGCTGTCCATGTTGATCACAAGAGGGCAGCTGAAGCTTAAATGTGGTCTGAAGCTGAAAACTAAGATTCATTTAGGCTAAATTTACCCAGCTCATTGAATTACATTAACACTTAATCTTGCTAATAAAGCTTCAAAACTTGAAAAATATTGCAGAATTGGTGATGAAAAGAATCCAAGAAACTACAACAGAAGTAGTGTTCATTGTATCTTGTGGTTAAGAAATTGTTTTATGTTTACAGAAATTGCTTCAAAATCTATTTCTATAGTTTAAGCAGTTAATACTTTATTTATGTTTTCTTTAGTTTTTGAAACTTTGAATGTCAATGTCCAAGATAAATAACCGAAAATGTTCTGCCTCTATTATAAAAGACTGTCTTGTTTTATTATTTTTTTGGTCCAGGTTTTAACTCAGGCTGGTATCACCTGGAATCTGTCCCCAGTCAAGAGGATGATGCCCAAAGAGTGGAGGGAGGCTGAGGAGTGAAGGGCCAACATGACACTTCTGCACCCAAACCAAGAAACCTTCTGATTGTACAGATTAATAACAATTACCAGTCAGTAAATTACTGTTTATTCCAACGTTTTGTTCAAATAAAATGTGATTCTACTGACTTGTTTGTTTGCTTTAAAAGTAAATATTGGATAGAACTACAACAAGTGGATTTATATAGATTTTTGTAGTGCTGTATATATTGAAGATTTATTGGAATATTAATATACATTAATTTTAGGAGTGCACACAGGATGATAAATTGGGACTTGTGCTCAGAATTGGATTCCAAAAGATTAAAGAAACTAAGTTGTGGGACATCTAATTTTTAATGGAAAACGCTACAGATGTAATAGAGTATATTGTACTAGGCATCAGCCTGTGAGCTTCTCGTAAAACATTTCAAAGTACCACTTTATTGTAAATTGGCTATCCGGGGTTGAAAACCCTTTGACATGATAAATGTGAAGTCTATGGTTTCATTGAATGGATGACTCTGAAAATATGAATAAGTGAATAGTGTATTATATTTTAAGGGCCAGTTTGAGTATTACAAGACACATTGGCTTGCCTTACATTGTTAATGAAGATCAGGTGGTAGTCTGAAAATACGAGCGGTGAGCTCGACCAATCAAATTTAATGTTTTCACTCAGTATTAGCCAATCACAAACTGAGGGAGGGATCTGCTCCGCCCACTGGCTGTACCTCCGCTTTGAGCTAAGGTCACAGCTGACATTCGGTTGCTAATCTGCCATCAGCTAAAGGAAGCGGAGGAAATCCATTTAGGAAGGTCCACGAAGGAACCAGAGAATATAATCAACATGTCTCTGTCTAACAAACTCACCCTGGACAAGGTGGACGTGAACGGGAAGCGGGTCGTTATGAGGTCGGTGGTAATCAGTTTTTTAATCAGACAGCTAGAGATAAGCTAACATCTAATGCTAGAGCCGTTTACGTCCCCAAAATATCATAAAAGGTTATTAAACCGTTTAATTTTCAATTTAAAGACTAAGAAGGGGCGTTTAACGGTCTTAGTCACTTCAGAGCTGTAATTAGAGGACGTGAACTTGTTACGTTTCCATTCGTGATACGTGCCTGTGAGGAGATGCTGCATGGAGATGGAGCCTGAGTCTGATTTAAACGTTCACATGAAGATGCAGCATCCGATGCGCTGAAGAACACAAAACCACACCCTGATATTCAGTGATGCTAACCAAAGTCTGGGTATTCAGTCGTTTGCAATTTGTAATATTTAAAATGTACATTTTTAATAAGAAAAAACCCAAACGGTCCCAGTTTTAACATCTATCAAAGTTTATATAACATGATTGTGGAGGATTTCCTCCTCTCTGCCTTCCCTCAAGCCTGGCCCTTTCAGTCTTTAGAAGAGCTCTGGAAGCTGACACCATGTGTGTAAATGTCAGAGGGCCATGTGGGTTTGGTGATCCAACAGCAGGCAGCATAGGACAAGGTTCACTGAGCCCACACTACTCCACTCAAAGGTCAAAATTCACTTCATGTTATGCGAGTTTAAGCAAACGTGAAACTACAATCTACAACACAGTCACAAGAAATATTGCCTCACAAACCAGGGCCTGTTGTAGCCTGTTGCATTTTAGTTCAGTAAGCCACATGGAGGCTGGACCAGAATGGTGGAGGAGGAGGAGGCCTGTAGAGGCCTGAAACAGCCGAGATTCATTCATGCACAGAAACCCTGAAGTTGCACAGAATTTTAAATAGAAAACAGATGAATTCTGGGTTGTGTCAAATTGCCTCTAATGTGCAAGCCTCAGTTTGCAGTGACATCAAATATTTTCCTTGCGGATTGAAAACTTTTGAACCAGAAGTATTCATAAAACAAGATTTTGAGAAAATGAATTAATATTTACTAAATGCAGACATGTGCTGAGTTATATTTGAGTCCCTAGTGTGTTTTTGGGACTTTTCTGCTAACATTTTGGATTGCTATTATGATAACAGCACATTCAGGTTGGGCGAGCTGGTCATTAATCCACTGAATATGAGGGGAGGTGATTCTGCATTGAGCTGCCAGGATGCATCACGGCATGGTCGAGTGTGTTGCACAGATTACTGCTGCTCTTCAGCTGTTTTTAACAGATTCTGTTCTGCTATTTGGTGGCAGTTTTCACTAGATTTTTTATGATTTATTATAGTTTGGATGTTTAGATGCTGCAGTTATTCCCATATGGAAAACCCAAAGTAAATGGCTGGGTCAAGCTCAGGATAAACGCCATTAGCTGCTCGCCGATGAACGTAGAGAAGCATTTAGGTGCCAAAGAGCAAGAATAAAGTTCTCAGTAGGTGGAAATCTACCAAGAATAAATAGAAGTTAATATTTTTGTAACAAATTGCGTAGTTTCAGGAATTTTGAACATCTTTTTTTCTCTTACTTGAGCTTTTTTACGCTAAAAAAACAGACAGTTCCTGCTTGTTCTGTTATTTCCACATCAAACACAAGTCAATGAGTCTGACAGGAGTTAAGTGTTCAACATCTTCTTCAGACGTATAGTTTACCAAGTCCTTGTTGTCTTTCAGAGTCGACTTCAATGTTCCCATGAAGGACAAACACATCACCAACAACCAGAGGTAGCGTTCCTCTTTGCTGTTCTCACTTGTCCATTCTAGAAGATTACCGTTGATATTAAAATGACGTGTTTGATTTTTAGGATCAAGGCAGCCGTTCCCAGCATCCAGTACTGTCTGGACCACGGGGCCAAGTCTGTTGTTCTGATGAGCCATCTGGGCCGTCCTGATGGCAACTTTATGCCTGAGAAATACTCCCTGGAGCCTGTTGTTGCTGAGCTCAAGACCCTTCTGGGGAGGTAGTACCATGGTTGTAACTGATCTTCTCTTGGCCTGAACATAACGAAATAAACATCTGATCGTCCTCCTTGGGGCTGTGCAGAGACGTCACTTTCCTGAAGGACTGTGTGGGTCCAGAGGTGGAAGCTGCCTGTGCTAACCCCGCCGCTGGAACAGTCATCCTGCTGGAGAACCTCCGCTTCCACGTAGCTGAGGAGGGGAAAGGCAAAGACCCCTCTGGAAACAAGGTGAGGCTGAAGGTCACTCGTCTATTTTAATGCATCTCTAGAAGCACAGCAGTCGTCTCACTTACAGGAATAGTGGAGCTCTCGATGTAGCTCGTGATGCTTGTCCTTGAGGTGCATTGTGGGAATTGTACAATCCATTTGTGAAGTTTGTTTGAGAATGGTGTCTTATTTCAGGTTTGCTTTGAGTGAAGTGCTGTTTCACATCATTTTCTTTTTTTCTGTTTTACTAGTCTAACTTTTAGCCTGTTGCTTTTTATTCCACTTCCTGTGCTCAGACTAAAATGGATACAAATTTATCATTCAGTTGGTGTGAGGTCTGGATAATGTCTGTAGTAGAAAATGAAAACGAGGATGTGAACTCGGGCAGCTGGAACTGGACCATAGTCCTGTTGGACATTGACGGACTCTGTTGACCTTTTTCTGCCCGCCAGTCTAGCAGCTGTGACCTTTTGCTTATTAAAGTGCAGCAGAAACCGGATCTACAGTCCAACTGCACCAGCAAGGAGGGACCGACCCTCTCCAGATCTCATCTGAGACGACTTTGCTGGTTAAATGAACATTTTATTAGACGACACATATGTTTGGGGTTTGTTTTACAGCATGTAGTTCTTGAAGTAGGATCTAAAAACCGAAGTTTGTGAAATTTTGTGATTTGAAGAGTTCCACATCCTTCTGATGTAAATGCCGTACATAAGACCTTCTCTGAACTGACTGTTGGAACGGACCGTAAACCTCAGGTTCTGGGTTTTGGTGTTGACCTCTGGTTTGAGTGTCACTGTTCATTCCCTGATAGCGACTAAACTAACATCCATGGTGCAAGAGCTGTCGGTAAATATGGACCTGCATTCTTTTAGAGGGGGAGGAAAGAGGTGAAGCCGCTGCTTGGATACAGATGTTAAATGGTAAATGGCCTGTATTTGTATAGCGCCTTCTTAGGGTTCTCAAACAGTCATTCACATGCTGGTGATGATGAGCTACAGTGTAGCCACAGCTGCCCTGGACGGAGACGAGGCCTGCTGACCGCAACCAGCAGGCACGGCGGGTTAAGTGTCTTGCTCAAGGACACAACAGCAGCAGTTCAAGCCAGGATCAAACCGACAAACTTTTGATTACTGGACATCCCGCTCTACCTCCTGAGCTACTGCTGTCTGCTCTCATGTTCAACTTTAACGTGTTTAATCATCTTTATGTTTTGTGTCCCTCAGATCAAGGCGTCCCAGGAGCAGACGGACTCCTTCAGGGCGTCTCTGTCCAAACTGGGAGATGTTTACATCAATGACGCCTTTGGGACGGCTCACAGAGCTCACAGGTGAGTGGAATCATCACCAGCTGGTGTGTAGGGTCAAAGCTGAAGTGAAATATCAAGTCACTCGATCTCTTCAGTGAAAACAAAATTTCTGCAACATTCTGAGCTTCAAAATTGAATTGTTTTAACAACATGACTCTCAGAAGTCTATCACGATTACTGGGAAACTTCCAGGTCACAGTCTGACCTTTCCATGGAGTACTGGCTGATAAAACATGTTAGTGGTTTTATGGTCCTGGTAGTGTTGGAGGTCAGCAGATCCGGTTCTCCTGGCTGTAACACGGATGTATCTGGTACAGTTATTGAGCTCACCTCGGTTTCTTTCAGATCGCAGGTCCACCATGAGGAGCATCAGCAGGAGTGATCTGCAGATTTTTGTATATTTAAAAAAAATAATTTACTTCTGTTGCTGCCACTTTCTTTAGAATGACTAACTAGAACTGGAATATCTGCTGAATTATAACTTGACTTCTGTCTTTCAGCTCCATGGTGGGGGTGAATCTGCCCCAGAAGGCTGCGGGTTTCCTCATGAAGAAGGAACTCGACTACTTTGCCATGGCTCTGGAGAAACCTCAGAGGCCCTTCCTGGCCATCCTGGGAGGGTGAGGGCAGAATCAGAAGCATCTTTTTCCTCTCCTGTGGTTTTGGTTCACCCAGCAGCCTCGTTTTAAACCAGATCAGGAATAAAGGATAAGCTCTTTACGTAATGTGATGTCAGAGCGCTGGCTGATCAGGCAGAGGTGAAGGGTCGTGTTTTGTTGAAAGGTTGTGATCTTGTCAAATAGTGCTGCGTTGGATTTTGCTTTAGTTTTATTTGCCTGCAAAAAATGTAATTCCCAACATTATTGAAGGCATATCTTCAGACATTTTATTGAAACCATTAATTTAACTGATGTGTTCTCTGTTGTAGAGCAAAGGTGAAGGATAAGATCCAGCTGATCAACAACATGTTGGACAAAGTGGACGAGATGATCATCGGCGGCGGGATGGCATTCACCTTCCTGAAAGTCCTCAACAACATGGAGGTGAGGACGACTTTGGTAAACCTGATAGGCTGCAGGTGTTGAAACTGTAACTTCTCTTCTTTCAGTCATGACCTCGGTTTGACCCCTGGACAAAAAGATCTAGAAATACTTGAACTATTTTCTCAAAGGTTGAAGTTTAGTTTTTATTTGTCTGGCTGATAAAACTCATTCACTACCATCCCCAAACTGAACTCAGTGTTGGGAAAACTCTTTTCAGAAGGACGTGACTGAGCAGCAGCAGAAAGCAGGAACGAGTTAAGCAAGAAATGAACGTGTGATGAAATCCCTACAAAAAGAGGCCATGCTGGGATTTGGGTTTTAAAGTAAAATATTACACTTCACACTGAATGACCTTCATTCTCCTCCGTCAGATCGGTACGTCTCTGTTTGACGAAGAAGGTGCCACCATCGTTAAAGACCTGATGGCCAAAGCAGAGAAGAATGGCGTCAAGATCACACTGCCGGTTGACTTCGTCACTGCAGACAAGTTTGATGAGAACGCCGCTACAGGCACCGCGACCGTGGCTGGTGGGATTCCAGCTGGCTGGATGGTGAGAAGAGGGTTTACCTAGTGGCTTTGTGCTGGGAGTTCAGTGTTGTAGTCTCTTTCTGTCTCCACCAGGGTCTGGACTGTGGTCCAGAGAGCTCGAAGGCCTACTCTGAGGCGGTGGGCAGGGCCAAGCAGATCGTCTGGAACGGGCCAGTTGGTGTGTTTGAGTGGGACAACTTTGCCAAAGGAACAAAGAACCTGATGGACAAGGTGGTGGAGGTGACCAAGTCGGGCTGCATCACAATCATCGGTGAGGGGAAAAGAGCTTGTTCCGCTAGTGGAGTTAGAAACACACCATCTTTTTGCTAGTTTGGATTGTAGCCATTTTATTTAATAATAAATATTGGCCTCAGATGCTAACTACAACGGACCAAACAGCTAATGGTTACACATAGGCTAGAGTAAAGCTGTCATAAAGGTAAATATTAAAACCCAGTGGTCTGCAGAGGCTTTTCCAGTCTCTTGAAGCGTTTTGCTGCTCCTCTGTCCAGGTGGGGGTGACACGGCAACCTGCTGTGCAAAGTGGAACACGGAAGATAAAGTCAGCCATGTGAGCACTGGAGGCGGAGCCAGTCTGGAGTTGCTGGAGGGTGAGTGGATGTTCGCTCACAGGAACGCAACAAGGCCATAAAAGCTTTCTGAATGTTTCTTCTCTTCGTGTTTTCAGGTAAAGTCCTACCTGGTGTCGAAGCCCTCAGCAGCGTCTAAACCACATCAGCTGGATTGGGTGTGTGTGTAAGAGAGAGAGAAGTGGGTTGATACTTTACTCCTGAAACCACCCATAACATAAATGCACACCACGTTGTTTTTGCCCTCAGCTGTGACTCGCAGGAGAATCTCCGCTCCTCAGACCTGCTGTTGTCTGCCTTACGTCAACATGCTGCTTCCAGACAAACTACTGACCATGGAGCTTTTATCTCACACACACATTTCCTTTTTCGTTTTCAAGACTAAAAGACCAAACTTGTTAAGATGGAAGGTAAAACTAAAGGCTGAAACAGTAAAACAGCAAGTTTAAGAACTCTGCTTCCTTTACAACTCAGTCATCTGTGTTTACCCATGAGTGTGTGTGTGTGTGTGTTTCAGCTGTGCTACCCCAGGATGGATGTTGCACCACCAGAGTGTATACTGTATATGTAGAGCATATATGTAGAAAGTGTTGATGTGTTTGTTGATGTTTTGTCTGGTGCTGACATTTGCTTGGTCGCCTGGCTGATTATAAAATAATTAAATGCTGTCCCCAAATCCTGTCTCAATATTTTAAACAAGCTGTAAAAGTTCAGCTTCATTGAAATAAAATCCCAGAAATCAGCTGCAAGGGTAATAAAAGTGGATTTAATTTTCCAGTAGATGGGAACTTCAGATTTTCAAAGCAGGTCTGATAAACATTTGAATATTTACACAAACTTGTGGATCAGAGTGGTGGTGTGTTCAGGTGCTTTTCCCATTTTCATTCACATAATCTGGTTCATCTGAAACAACAATAATTCATATTAAACAGAGCATGATCGTGATGAACTACTAATCACTTGGTGGAGACTTACCATCTATCTGTTGCAGGAATGCAGCGTTTTCATAATCATCGTCTGCTTTAATAAAGTTTTAATATTTGAATAAGAACTTTTCTTATTGAGAAATCAGAAATAAGAAAACTGGATCTACCTTCTTCTATTGACAGCGACAGGAAAACATTTCCATAAATGCCGGGAGTTTGTTCATCATCTAAAACAAACACATGTTGTAAACAACCGGAACAAACCAAGTTAGGACTAGAAAACGTGCCGAAATACCCACCAAGTGTTCTGTTCTTCTGATTTTCATACAAAGCCACAGCGATTGGAGCTCTACAAAATTGACACCAACAGAGCTTTAGTGGTCTCTCCACCCTTACATCTTTAACATGCTTAAATGACAATTAATGATTACTGTCAGACTTGTTTTCTCTGAAGTTCCTCCAGAGTTTGGGGCCATTTATCCTACATAAAACACTGGAGAAACCTTAAAATGTACACATGTGACCACCAGAACCTCCACTGCTCAAGAATATGTGATCATATAGGAATAATTCTTTTTTTATCCTGCAGATCATTCCACATCTGGGCTCCCTGCTGTTGCAAAAACCATGCCGGCATGACACTTTTGATCAGCTGATTGCAAATCCTGTTTAAAAAGACTTACACATAATCATGTTCCAGGTTGGAGCTGACTGTTGGTACTGAGGAAATAAGATGCATGCATTTAAAAAACCTGGAAAGATCTGGAAATAAATATGATTAAAGTTTGAAGTAAATGACCTGTAATGTTCAGATAGTCGCCCTGTTCCTCCGTTTCACCTGCAAGACATGGTTATTAAATCATCTCAACACTTAGTTTGTTACATTTATAATTTTTATATGAAAACTCATGAGGTGCTCACCGTCTTGGAAGGCAGACTGCTCCAGAGTCTCACTAGAAAGCAGTTTTAGTATACTGAGTTAAATCTTTGGTTTTATTTTGAAATGAAGAGATTGGCCCGAAGACCTCTAATAATGAATTACATAAATGGAAACCGTGTTCCCTCGCCCGGACGTGGGTCACCGGGGCCCTCCTCTGGGGCCAGGCCTGGAGGTGGGGCACGTTGGCGAGCTCCTGTGGCCGGGCTTTCACCCATGGAGCCCGAAGAGGAAACGTGGGTCCCCCTTCCCATGGGCTCACCACTCGTGGGAGGGGCCAAAGGGGTTGGGTGCAGTGTGTGACGGGTGGTAGTCGAGGACAGGGACCTTGGCGGTCTAATCCTCAGCTACAGAAGCTGGCTCTTGGCACATGGAATGTCACCTCTGGTGGGGAAGGAGCCTGAGTTGGTGTGTGAGGTTGAGAGGTTCAGATTAGATATTCTGATCCACCATCCGGCGCCTCAGGGGGGAAAGCAGTGCGCTACCAACACTATCTACAGTGGGGACGGTGTGCTGCTGACCTCTACTCAGGACGTTGTGGATCAGTGGGCGGAATACTTCGAAGACCTCCTCAATCCCACCGACACGTCTTCCAGTGAGGAAGTAGAGTCTGGGGACTTTGGGTTGGCCTCTCAAATCTCTGGTGCTGAGGTCACTGAGGTGGTTAAAAAGCTCCTCTGTGGCAAGACTCCAGGGGTGGATGAGATCCGCCCGGAGTTCCTTAAGGCTCTGGATGTTGTGGGACTGTGTTGGCTGACGTGGCTCTGCACTATCGCGTGGACATCGGGGGGCAGTCCCACTGGACTGGCAGACCGGGGTGGTGGTCCCCTTATTTAAAAAGGGGGACCGCAGGGTGTGTTCCAACTACAGGGGGATCACACTCCTGAGCCTTCCTGGTAAGGTCTATTCAGGGGTTCTGGAGAGGAGGATCCGTCGGATTGTTGAACCTCAGATTCAGGAGGAGCAATGTGGTTTTCGTCCTGGCCGTGGAACACTGGACCAGCTCTATACCCTTAGGTGGATCCTGGAGGGTGCGTGGGAATTTGCCCAACCAGTCTACGTGTGTTTTGTGGATTTGGAGAAGGCGTTTGACCACGTCCCTCGGGGGGCCCTGTGGGGCGTACTCTGGGACTATGGGGTACCAGGCCCTCTGATACGGGCTGTTAGGTCCCCGTGTGACCGGTGTCAGAGCTTGGTCCGCATTGCCGGCAGTAAGTCGGGCTCGTTCCCAGTGAGAGTTGGATTCCACCAAGGCTGCCCTTTGTCACCGATTCTGTTCATAACCTTTATGGACAAGATTTCTAGGCGCAGCCAAGGTGTGGAGGGCATCCGTTTTGATGGCCTGAGGATCAGGTCTCTGCTTTTTGCAGATGATGTGGTCCTGTTGGCTTCATCAGAACGTGATCTTCAGCTTTCGCTGGAGCAGTTTGCAGCCGAGTGTGAAGCGGTTGGGATGAGAATCAGCTCCTCTAAATCTGAGACCACGGTCTTGATTCGGAAAAGGGTAGAAAGCCTTCTCCGGGTCAGGGATGAGGTCCTGCCCCAAGTGGAGGAGCTTAAGTATCTTGTGGTCTTGTTCACGAGTGAGGGAAAACTGGAACGTGAGATCGATAGGCGGATTGGTGCTGCATCTGCAGTGATGCGGGCATTGTACCGGTCTGTCGTGGTGAAGAGAGAGCCGAGTCCGTAGGCGAAGCTCTCAATTTACCGGTCGATCTACGTTCCTACCCTCACCTATGGTCATGAGCTTTGGATAGTGACCGAAAGAACGAGATCGCGGATACAAGCGGCCGAAAAGAGTTTTCTCCGAAGAGTGGCTGGTATCTCCCTTAGAGATAGGGTGAGAAGCTCGGTCATTCGGGAGGGGCTCGGAGTAGACCCGCTGCTTCTCCACATCGAGAGGAGCCAGTCGAGGTGGCTTGGGTATCTGGTCAGGGTGCCTCCTGGATGCCTCCCTGGTGAGGTTTTCTGGGCACGTCCAACCGGGAGGAGACCTAAAGGTAGACCCAGGACATGGTGGAGGGACTATGTCTCTCACCTGGCCAGGGAACGCCTTGGGATTCCCCCGAAGGAGCTGGCCCAAGTGGCTGGGGAGAGGGAAGTCTGGGCCTCTCGCCTTAGGCTACTGCCCCCGCGACCTGACTCTGGATAAACGGATGAAGATGGGTGGATGATGGATGGATGGATGTAGATTTTAAAGAAGAAATATGAACAGATTATTGATTGTCATGCTAAATAATGTGGACGCTGGGTTTCACCCCTGAGACTAATCACAATAAACGGGATCTAATACAGAATAAAAATGGATTGTGCTCTAATGATTCTTAGTGTTAACTGGTTAAGTCCACACACAAACATGGTACATTCATACATACTCTGTGTCTGAGGAGATCAGATTTCCTCTGGTGACTGAAAAATACAACAACACATTTAAACAGAAGTGCAGCATTGATCAAAAAGTGAAGACGAATGATCAGAACCAGTCTTTACCTGTTTTTGAACGGATAACTGCAAATTTACTCCCGCCTCGTTGGCTGCCAACACAGAGTTTTCATGAAAAATAATAAATCTGTCAGCATTTCTACCAAACTCAACTTGAAGTGAACTGAATGGCCATACTTACAAAATTTGTGGGTCATATATTTGAGACTCCAGCATGATTTCTGCATAAAACAATAAATGAGCTTGAATAAGTACTTGTTTTGCAGCGTCACATTCTGATGAACCCAACAGGACCACATCTGCAAAAAGCAGAGACCTGATCCGCAGGCCACCAAAACGGATCCCCTCAACACGTTGGCTGACCTAGGAATCCTGTCCATAAAAGTTATGAATAGATTCGATGATAAAGGCAGCCTTGGTGGAGTCCAACTCTCACCACTAACAAGCCTGACTTACTGCCAGCAATGCGGACCAAGTTCTGACACCGTTCATACGGGGACCTAACAGCTCGTGTCAGAGGGCCTGGTACACCATACTCCGGAGGGACGCAGTAGAACGCCATTTCCAAATCCACAAAACACATGTAGATTGATTGGGGGCACTCCCACGCACCCTCCAGGACCCTCCTAAGGGTAAAGAGCTGGTCCAATGTTCCATGGCCAAGACAAAAACCACTATGCTCCTCCTGGATCTAAGGATCAGCTATCCGATGGACCCTCCTCTCCAGAACCCCTGAATAGACTTTATCAGGGAGGCTCAGGAGTGTGATCCCCTCCTCCTCATTGGAAGATATGCCAGTGGGACTGAGGAAGTCTTTGAAGTACTCTGCCCACCAATCCAGCATCCTGTATCAGCTGCACACGACCCCCCCCCCCCCCCCCCCCCCAAAAAAAAAACAGTGTTGGTACACCACTGCCTTCCCCTCCTGAGGCGCTGGATGGTGGACCATAATTTCCTCAAAGCCATATAGAAGTCTCTATGATCTCACAGAATCCTTCCCACACCCGGTTTTTGCCTCTACAACCACCCAAGCTGTAATGTGCTTGGACTGCTGGTACCTATCAGTCCCACAGGTCATAAGAACACAATATAATAACTTCTCCAGCTTGACACCATCCCTAACCATCAGTGTCCACCAATGGGTTTGTGGGCTGCTATGTTCCCAGCAGACCCTCACAATAAGTTTGGGCCTGCAAATCTAACCGCCGGCATCCTCCCCCACTATCGAAACCAACTCACCATCAAGTAGTTGTCAGCTTCCAGCTCTGCTCCTCTCTTTAACCAAGTGATAACAAGACACGTGGCCGCAGGTCAGATGAGACAACAGCAAAGTCGATCAATGAGCTGCGGCCTAAGGTATCTTGATGCCAACAGCAAATATGGACACCTTTAGGCCTGAACATGGTGTTCATTATGAACAATCCATGACGAGCATAGAAGTCTCAATCCCACACACCAAATCAGACTCTTTCCCCACAAGAGAGGAACCAAAAGCCAGCTTCTGTAGCCAAGGATCGGACCACCAAGGTCCCCAGCTTTGGCTACCACCCATCTCCCATAACACTAGACTTTGTTGGCCCCTCTCACAAGTGGCGGGGCTGAGGGAAGGGGGACACGTGTTTCCTCTTTAGGTAGTGCCTGGCCGGGCTCCATGGGTGAAAGCCCGGCCACCATTACTCCAGAGGAGGGCTCCAGTGACCCACGTCCGGGCGAGGAAACACTATCTGCATTTGTGGTAATCATCATAAGAGGTCTTGGGGCTGCACTTTGTCTGATCCCTCACCTAGGACCTGTTTGCCATGGGTGGCCCTACCAGAGGCATAACAACATTTTTACATCACTTTTATACTTTAGGTGGTTTTGAAACCATTCCTTATTCCATGGACAGCTTCTTCAGAGGCAGACTGAGACATCCCAGATGTAAAACAGAATGCTACCGTAGGTCTTTCATCCCCTCTGCAATAAGAGTGTATAACTCCTCAGTTTAAGCTGTACTGGCATTATCCTGGTACACAATAACACCAATGCAATACTCATTGTGTGTTCAATACTTGTTCAATACAGGATTTACATAGTGCATTGTGTTGGAACCCAAGTTTTTTCCTTATTTATTTGTGGTTTTTGGTGGTCGAAGGTTACAATCCCAGATTACTGCCTATGTGTATGTATATACAAGTACCTTTGTTATTATTTTTCTACAAATTATTCTCCTAAGTGTTGGTGCTGCTGTAACAAGCAAATTTCCCCACTGTGGGATCCATAAAGTCTATTCTACTCTAGGAAAATATTTTATGTATATTTTTTGTATTTTTCCTCACTTTGTATTCTTATTTGATTTGTTTCTTCTTATCTCGTCTGTGTAGAATGTATACTTCTACCTGAGTAATGAACGTGAATACTTTAGACACTTCCGCCAACTTCAGACTATCTGGTCCAGCAGCATGACCCACATCCACCTGTGATCTGCTGGTTTCCGCTGCTATATCGCTCACGTTTGCAGCATGAAGCCTACATCTATCAAAGGACCTATGTACTAAGATGAAGCAAAAGATTACTCATGGTAAAATTCTGATAAATCACTTTACCTGGCAACAATAGAAGAACTCTAATTTCTCTTTGTAAGTGGATTTTTTGTTTGTTTGAATTTTAGGAAAAATGAACCAAGAAAAAAAAAAACATTTTGTAGATAAGAAACAGCCCACACGAGCAACAGGTTTAACTCTCACAGATATCTCATACTGGTCCACTTTGTAGAAAAAAAAACACTTACTGGATTTCTTTTTGCATCGCAAACACAGAAGGGAAAGCAGACTCAGCGATATGACCGACACCACAGTCAGGACTGCAGCCAGCAAACTGGAGTCTCCTGTCATCTCTAAAACACACACAGTTAAAGGTTCATTCAGCCTGGTCAACAGTTATTCACTGCAAGTGGAGTTTTCTTCTTAACAGAGACAGGATGTGGTTGGCTCAAACAAAACTGAAACACTGATTGCTGTCTGCATGGGTCTCACTCCCCCGTGCGTTGCTGTTTATAAAGGACTTTTGAACGTGCACCTGAGAAAGTTGGTTTGGTTCCTCAAAGCAGTCAAACTCAGCCTTAAGCAGTGTTGGGTTGAATACTTTGTAAATGTATTTAGTTACAGAAAACTGAATACCTGCTTTAAAATGTATTTTGTAACGTGCTCCATTACTTTGCTTAATCCTGGTATTGTATTCTAAATACTTGTAATACTTCCCCTTAAAATCAGCATTTAAGTCTATTAAATATCAAAATGTGCGTTGGTAGCTGCTCACGCAGGAAATCAGAACTGACTGGGAAAATTAAACAATTTAATTATTTTTGTTACCTTGTCAAAGTGTTAACAGATTCTTTTTCTGTAATAAAGTGAGAAAGTGGTTGAACATAGCACAGCATTGCTGTCATAACACCATACAGGCGCTGGTAAATAAAGCACTATGAAAGCAAAACAGACGACGGTGGCACAGGAGTTAAGTGCTCGCCCCGTAATCGGAAGGTTGCAGGTTCGAGCCCCGCTCAGTCTGTCGCTGTCTTTGTGTCCTTGGGCAAGACACTTAACCCACGTTGCCTGCTGGTGGCGGTCGAAGGGACCGGTGGCGCCTGTGCTCGGCAGCCTTGCCTCTGTCAGCGCGTCCCAGGGCAGCTGTGGCTACATCGTAGCTCATCCCCACCAGTGTGGGAATTTGTGTGTGAATGAGTGAATGACTGGTTGTGTTGAAAAGTGCCTTGGGGGTTCCAGAAAGGCGCTATATCAATTACAGGCCATTTACCATCAATCATTTTTATAAACTGGGTCTTTCTAGAGGACGCAGTTTATAAAAATAACTTACTTTAAAGGGATATTCCACCCAAAAGTGAACATTTGTTTATTACCATATTCTCTATGGTTGTCTCTCTCTACCTATGGTTAGATAAGTGAGATAAAAGCATTTTGTAAGCAGCACAGTACAGGATTTGCAGGAGCCAGTTTAGACTTGGGACTACATTACGGTTATGACAAACACTGCTATCAGCCGCCACTGCATGGTGCGTGGTATTAACACAGTGGTTGAAAAAGTCTCCGGTTTCCATTAACAAACACACTCGAATATCGGCTCCTGCAAATCCTTCGTGTTACTTCTTACTTTTCATTTGCAGTCGACATGATTGTTGAGCTCACCAGGAATAATTGGTATCATTAATGATTCATTTGCAACCAAAATGCTACTAGTTTCCATTGACTCTATTTTTTATATGCTAGGCAAAAGCAAACGGACTGCTGCCGGATCAGGAGAATTACTGCGCTAGTTACAAAATGCTTTTTTCTCACCTATCTAACTTTGGGAAATATGGTAATAGACACATTTTCACTTTTGGGTGGAATATCCCTTTAAGGCGTTTCTTCAGATTAGATATTGAGTCTTTGGATGCAGCTAGTAGGTTGTTAGCTGGGTTACAAAGATTGCACTGCACTGTCAAATTTCGTGCACCTCGCTCCTTTTTTACAGTAAAACTTTGCTTGAATTTCCAGGAAGTGAAAGCACATTTTCTTTCGCTGCTAGTAGGTTGATTTGGCTGTGGTTGTGGTTCCACCCACTCCACCTCCTGGTCTGAATCCATACCTGGCCACTTATGTTGTGAATGCTTCTCATGGTTTCAGCCATAGCATTACAGAGGCACATTGTTTAAGGGCATTATGGGATAGATAGCCTACACAATGCAGAGACACACGTTGCCCGAAATGTATTTATTCATCTTACGAGTGGAAAACACAAGTATTCCAATGGTAATACAAAAGTAACTGTATTCTAAATACCATGTTTAAAAATAGTAACTGTGACTGAATACAATTACTCATCTTTACTATTCTAAATACTATACTCTAAATACATGCATTCAGTTACTCCCCAACACATATCTTAAAGAGCAAGTCACCCCTCACTTCACTCCCACTTCCTGATTGAAAAATGCAACAAATGCTGTCGTCTGGCAGATCGGGAGGGTGGAGCCACTTAATTACACACACACACACACACACACACACACACACACACACACACACACACACACACACACACACACACACACACAGGATCACAATGACATTTTGACATCATAATGTACCAGCTAACGTCATAGTGTACCGTTTAGCCAATAGTGATGGCAAATTTAAAATCAAATGCAGTGCAGAGTTTTTACCTGAATAAGGCCCAACACTGACAGTTTTAGGCAGAACATTTAAATTTTAACTAAAATGCACTAAAGTGCAAAACTACTGACTACACGTGTCTGCAGCACGATGAGACACGCATTTATATAGTTTATCAGAAAAAAAATGTTGATTTGGGTGACGTGCTGTATATATTGACATATAAAAACAGTGAACAGCTGTCTTTGTCTCAGACCACATCTCTGCTTTGTTTCTCAAGAAGCTGCTGAGTCTGAGAAACACAGAAATACATGTACAAGAATATTTGCACTTTAAGTCCACATAAACTAGATCTAAATGATGCAAGACTGAGATTTCCCAGCTGACTATGGGTTATTATTTATGAAACATTAATCAGAAAATATCTGTGCAGATGACACAGACCACTCATGCTCTCGCAAAAGTGTGCAAGCGTTCATTCAAGTGCACTAGTATATATGTGATGGAGCAGAATATCAGAGCATTACAATGACCAAACATACCATGTCAGCCATCTGCAGGTAATTAAGTGAATCCATCACTAATAATTAATATAAAATGAAGAAAAGCACAAAACAACGTTCATATTAAAGGTACAGTCTGAGATGTTTTGTATTTTTTGCCATATTGCTTTAAATTATCTTCACAAACTGATGGCAACCAATAAATTAAATGTTTGGTTGAAAGAAATACTTTTAATTACCTCTCAAACCTGATAAAATCTCGACCAATCACTGTGCTGGTCCCCATTCTTAATGATTGGCTCATCACCCATCCATCAAATTGCTTCTCTGAACGTCTCTGCCCCCGTTTCACTCTGTGTCCCACATTCTCGGCGAAGCAGCTGAACAGAAAACCAAGCTAGCTGAGTTGCCCGGTGCCATGGATGGAATGTTCTGTTCATAAATCTCATTTAAGGAGTAGTTTTACATGTTGGGTTTAGAGTCTGTTCTTGTTGGGAAACGTTTAGATGACAGAGTTGTTGTCTGGGAATGCAGCTAAGTCTAATGTTGGGGCCCTGGAAGTTTCTACTTGTTAGTGGTGAGGTGACACTGTGATGTTGCACATAATAATAAATCAAGAAACGTACAGACTGCCAAGTTTTTCACCATAAAACACCACACACTATATTAGCTAGCAATGCTAGCGAAGCAAGTGGAAGAGGGTTCAGCTTGGACGTGGTTCTGGACGTTTAGACCTGAACTGCAGCTCAGCAGAGCTGTTCTTATGCGAGCCCATGTCTGTATGGCAACCATCAGATTCTGTGACTCTGGGGGAGCCTGAATTGTTGTTATTTTTAATTTAGCTTGCTTGAATCACTTTTTAAAGAAAACAAAATGCAATTTTACTCCCATGTAGACCACTACATTAGCAACAAACCACTTCTGACCTTGGAGCAGTCAGATGGAGTATCAGGATTAGTACCTTCATCACAAACCAGTCCCATACATGTCTACTTCCTATTCCTTTTCTCTCTCCCTTTCCTTACATATTTTGTTCTTTTCTCCTTTTAAACATGTTTTTAAACATTTTTAAAATCTTTTTATACTTTTTTTTTGTTTTGTTTTTGTAAAGCGCCTCGTGATTTTTATCTTGAGAGGCGCTCTATAAAAGATCGTCTTCTTCTTCTTCTACTGCCTGCTGGAGGAGGGTCTACTGATGTCAAGGGCCAATTGTATTTGTCTGTTTGTCTTATATTGTTAAATAATTACATATTAAGACAAACTGATATTTATATAGTTTATTATCTTTATAATAAATTGTTCAGTTAAAAACGTATACATATTTATTGTTTTATATTTCAGGGATTAAACGCATTGGACATAATGAGAGAGCTGGTGTCTGTCTCCATCAGTCACAGCGAGGTGGGGGACACCTTGGACAGGCTTCCAGTCCTTCACAGGGACAATTTAAAGTCTTTAATGAACTAAACATATATGTTTTGGGGCTTTGGGAGGACGCCGGATACCCAGGAAAAAACCAATGCATGCATGGGGAGAACATTCTAACTCAATGGAGAAAGGTGCAGTCGGGATTCAAACCAGCAACCTTCTTGCTGTCAGGAAACAATGCCATGTACCCCATCAGTGAAAACAGGTGAAACTTGAACAATTAGATTATGGTGCAAAGTTTCAGCTTAGACCGAGAGACCATCTAAAGGCTCTGGAACACTTTGTTCTGGATTAGCTGATTAGAGTGTGACACTTTGAGCCTAGAATATTAAACCTCTACACAATGTAATCATCTGAGATTTTGAATTTGGGGTTTCGTTATGCTGTAAGCCATAATCGTCACAGTTATAACAAATAAACGCTTGAAATATCTGGCTTTGCATGGAATGAGTCTATCTCAAATATGTTTATAATCAGAATCAAATTGACTTTTGCACCATAATCTAATTGTTTCACCTGTACTTTACAACAAATAAAGTTAATTTCCGTTTACTGTAAGTAAACCATTACAAGTGCAGAGATTGTGTGATCAAATCTGTTTATTAATAGTTAGAAATGAGATATTACCTTTAATGATAACATTTATTCTAAAAATACAACAAAGTGTGTTAAATTGCTAATAAATCACTGACTTAACTGTTAAGTTAAAGCAGAAAATGTTATTGTATGAATAATACCCATGTTTAAACCCTTAAAGGAAGTTCAAATGAAACAGATGGGTTTGTTATTATTCATAATTTCCTAGCCTTGTGTCTGGTCTTTGTGTCATCGGAAAGTAGCTTCTGTTCCAGTGGGTGAAAAGTTTTCCATCACAGTCAGACAGCAGCTTATTTACAGGCTGCTGTTGTTGGTCTTTCTTTCCTCTGGTGCAGTTTTTTATGAGTTCTGATTTTTAACCACCAAACAGCCTTTTATCCGCTTATAGAGTCAAAAAGCACAAGTGTGTTTAAGTGTTTAAACAACAGAACCTGTTCTTGTTTCGGCGGGATTACGATTACGACAAATACAACACAAATGTTTATGTAACGTGGAACAAAGCGTCTGACTCTCAAAAATAGCTTTGATTTCTATTTAAATTATTTACATTTTCATGTAATTTTCTCAGATGATTCTATTTTAAGTTCCATTTTTCCACCTGTAATTGTTGGTGTTGCTAACGACCAACTCTGAGCTCTGATTCTTCTCTCCCGTTAATCATTTTTATCGTTCTGCACATTTAATATCAGTTATTCAACATTTATTTGAAGGATGTTTTTTTCTACTTTTTTATATTTACTGGAACAATAAATATATACTCTCAGGTTATTATTGTGTTATTTATGAAAAAATAAATCAATTTTAGTTGTGTTTCATTTGTTCTTGTCAAATGTGAGTTGTATAAATAATAATAATAATAATAATAATAATAAAATAATAATAATAATAATAATAAATAATAATAATAATAATAATAATAATAATAAAAAAAACTCAGATTTATGTTTAATAGGTTAATGTGGAACAATATGCTTCCCTGCTGTTTTAAAATTTGCACTTTAGGTCTCGGTTTTAATGTTAGTAGTGTTTTTATTGCGTTTTTTATGTTAGTTTTTTCTTTTCAGTGGTGTTATATTTATTGATATTTATTTTTTATCCTTATGCATCCTAATATTTGTTCTTACTGTATCATAAAGCTTCCTTCATTGGCGGCAGGAAGGTGCTTCTGGAATATATTTAAATTAAATTGTTTGCTAAAATCTTGATTCTAACAACATTATTAAAATATTCCACTTTTTCTGCCTTTATTAAACTTCTGATGAGCCTTATTTATCTGCAGTGACGACTGGTAGCTCGGTGTATATGATTCATACCCTTTTATTCATTCATTATATGCATGAAAACATTTAGCCTGATTAATATATTAATAGTTATTCCTGTAAAAGAGTAAAAACACTCTTCTGAACTGGCCTCTTGGTGTTTGCTGATCAAACTCTCACATTATAGTTTCACGGTTCCTCTTAAAGTTCTCAGAAATCTCACAAATATCTAGCCAAGCCTTCGGATCTCCTAAAAGACGTTCTAAAGCGATTACACAAACACAATTATCTGATGCGTTACCTTCAGAGGTCCAGCAGCCATTCTTCACGCGTTGAGACTGCAGCTGCTCTTCAGATGATGCCTCAGCTTCCTCTTTCAACAACACCCCACTTCCGCTAAGCTCCTGTAACACCAGTGTGGTTTAAATGGTCACAGAGCACGGCTAATGAACTGATGTTTTTTTTGGTGTCTGGATTTCGAACACATTTACATGCTTTTAAGGTCAAGATGTAGATTTAGGTCACCTGCTTTCAACCACATTCATTCCAAGTCGAGCTACCGATTTTAAAAAGTATGCTTAGAAAATATGAAGCTGTGCTAGTCAAAGCTAGCTCTCTCAGGAAGGATTTGAGCTTCTTCATGGTGCTGAACCATGTTTGAATAAAATATTTTCAATAAAGCAAAGGTGTTTTTAGGTTCTACTCATACAACAAACCAAAACAGTTAAAATAAACGCCAAGTTATGTTACTTAAATGCTATTCTATAATTTAAAAGTTGTTCTTCAGCAGCAATCTGTTTTAAACTTTTTGGGAAATGATGAAGGAATTAAATCTACAATTATTTGAGTTTTAATACATTGGATTTCCTCTAGAAAGCAGATGAAGGTATGTGGGCCGCGTCTGCAAAACGGCAAAGTTTTCAAGATGTTGAAATGTCCATGTGGCTAGATCTTTAGGCCCAATTCAAACTAGTTTTTCTTTACTATGAAGAATGTGGAAGAAGATATTTTCATAAACAAAGAAATCTTCTCAAACTCTTCTCAGTTTGGTTTTTACAAAGTCGGACAGCGTGAGTTTTGTGGGACAACTTCTGGTGGAGTTAATAAGCCCAACTTATCTCAATTTAGTAATTACCAATCCGTGTCTCCTTATTCCACGGTTTCTTCTTATTGTTTTCAATTAGGTCCAATTTTATTTTTCTGTTCTTCTGCTAGTGATGCCTCGTGAAGCTTTTTATACCCAAATCTCGAAAGTGTCACAGGTACAGGAGTGCTTCTCATTTAAAGCACCAGCAGGAGATGAGACAGTTTAGCAAGCTTTGATCTTGTTTTGCAGAAAGATGAGACAAGTGATCTTAGGAGAGCAGAGAAGCTTTCTGTAGTATGAACGCTGAGGCAACTTTTATGCGAAGAGACCAACAGGATAAAAGAGGAGCTGGAGACTAAAAAAGCACAGAATGAGCAGAGATAGTGCCTGCTCAAATTATGGAGACATGCAATGACTTCTACCTGGTAACAGAAAGGATGAAAGACAAAGGAAATCTCTCTCCAGAAGGAAAACACTTTTAAAAATATAGAAAGTTTTATTACAACTAAATTATGCTCAAGGGTTTCTGGTTGTCAGATGAGATGTCAGGACAAAATAGTGGGATGGAATTTTTTTTCAGTGAAAATAAAATGAGGAAATGATGGAGATGGGGAAATATAAAATAATCTAAATGAGCATCACGATGATCAAACACATGTCAGCCATCTGCAAGAACTACAGTAGCTGCAGCCACACAGACAAGTAAAAGTGTCAGACATTTAGCAGTCACAAACTCAAGGTAAAATGAATCCAGGGCCATCAGTGGTTGCCAACAGCTTGTTGGCCTCATTTCCATAAAAAATGGAATCCATCATGGAAAACTAAACACTTGTTCAACCTTTAATTAATTTGACGACTTCTGATTTTTTAAATATAATTTGTTGTAATATGAAATACAATGATGTATTTTTACAATTCTTTGTTTATTTTATATTGTCTAAATAAAATAGTTTAGTTTGTGAGTCTTCACGTCATGACGTCACAGTCCCCTCGCACGTAAAAGCACGTACGGTCTGACCATCGTGTGGGGCTAGCCGACCCAGCCTGCTACTGTTGGGGTTATGAGTGTTTAGCATGTGCTACTCATGCTGTTAGTGGTTTGAATGAGAGGAGGCGTTGTTCCGCTGCTTTCCTTTAGCTCTAGTGACGGGGGGCTGAGCCCTTCACCCGTGGAGCCACACCCTCTCGTGTTGTTGTTATTGTCCCGAGGAACGTCTGCGTGCCCTGGCTCCTGCTGTCACCCTCTCGCGCCGAGAGCTGGCCCTTCCGCGTGCATGCAGCAGAATGGCTCGAGCGGTTCCAACGGTTCTGAGGGCTGCGGCAGCAGGGAGCGTCAGGCTCTCTCCTTCAGCCCGCTGCCTGCCGCTGCTACGACACGGGTGAGGCGGTTTATTCAAGAAAGGCGGACGCTGCCTCTGCCCAAAGTGATGGTGGTGTTCTCGGCCGCCGGGGAAGTGGACAGACCGAGCGATGCCATGTCAAGCTCGGAACCTGCGGAGGAAGACGTGCGAAAGCCGGCGTGCCCCTCACCAAGCAAGCCGCTCCACACCTCTCTGAACGCCCAGGAGCAAGAGGTAGGCCTCCCCGCTACACAGAAAACTGCTACTACCACCTCCAGAGCCAGCTAAATTATTATTTAAAAGTGATATTTATTTATTTGCATTGCCAAAACTAAGTAATGTTAATTCTCCTAACATGAGAAAAATCGCCATCTTTTTGCTTGTACACCCTGTAGCCTACTTTTTCGCTTCATAACTTTACTGTTTGTATGTGTGGCTGTTAATACGGAGCTCTGTGATTGGCTTATCCGCGGCTCTCTCTGCTGATTGGATGTTAGTTAGGTCACGTGGGTTTTAGTAAGCTTAATCTTATTTGTGTCCCTGATCTCTTTACCCACTAAATGTAATATGAATTCATTCTTGAATTAAAACTTTTCTGTTTTCCATTAACTAGGCCACTAAGCCACCCAGGAACCACATCCTCCCAGTAGTCCTAGCAGCCATGTTTACTGCATTTAATTGGTATCTGATTCTTTATAACCACAGATTTATCAGAGAATTGCTGCGTTTGTGTTTGTTCTTTCTTTAAATCACACACATATAGGCATATAGCTCAGTTGTCCTGCAGCTCCTTCAGATGATGTTACTAGATTACTGTTTTAAAGCACAAACTGCATTCTATCTGCCAGGAAGTAAGGTCTTCAGTCTTTTTAAAAACATTTTTAAAGTTCAAGTACTTTAAAGGAACAATATGTGGTTTTTTACCATAATTTCTTGAGATATCCATAAAAAATGTTGTTGAAAATTAATTAAATGATGCCAGTTGTTGGAAAAATAGTGGCCTTGGTCAAAAAACTACCCAGAATACACCGCGGTAATTTCAAAAGTATGGCAGATCAGAAGCCGGCAGCTACTTCGGGGGTAAATTTCAATTTTAAAAGTAAGTCAACTCATTTAAAATGTTTTTTTTTTTTTAGATCCAAAGAAGTTATCTATGGTTGGTTAGTTGCTTAGTAGTTGTAGCTTCGGTGGCTAGTGAGTACAGTGATCCCTAGCTACTTCGCGGTTCGTTTATCGCGGATTCACGACTTCGCGGATTTTTTCTTTGGAGCCTTATTCAAGGGAAATTCGCCGATTCGCAGTGTTTTTCACCGATTCAAGGTATTTTTCTATGCGAAATATCAAGAAATTCCTGTTTTTTTTTTCATCAATTTCATCATAAAATGCACTTTTTGTAATAAAATTATTAAAAAAAACAAGTACAAATACAGTACTATGTAAGGGGAGGGTTTTAAAAGTCTGAATACTGAATACGTACCTGTTAAATAAATACTGTAAATATGGTGTCCCTACTTCGCAGATTTTCACCTATCGCGGCCAGGTCTGGAATGCAGCTACCGCGATAAACGAGGGATCACCTGTACCAACTCACTTGTATATTTAACAAATTTATACACAATTTAAAAAGTAAAAGGCTCGTTACATATTTATATAGAAACTTATACGTATAAAATATAACGTTATCTCCAGTGTCACGTGACGTTACATGACCGCCGTGGAAGCAGCGGTCACGTGATGCAAGTCTGTTCCATTTAACTGTTTTCTTTGACCAAGGAAGGACTGTGTCCTCATAAGCAAGGAGTCTGGCCTCGCAAGACATCGCCTCGTAGGCTAGGTGCCTTGACATAGAGAAACTGCCTAAGTCTCTGGACGACGCCATATTCGATGCCATGTTTCCTCCTACGGGAGCCCATAAGGATAAAATGCATTCACTAATTTGTCACAAACGGTTACAAACTTTCTCCATTCTTAAGTGTTGTTTTACACATCTACCTCTTCATTTGTTGTCAGTGATCAAAGAGAGTCTGATGTGCTCGTTATTTTGCTTAAGTTTGCACTCCCCAGGGCTCTTTGACCCTAATGGGCATCCATTGGTAAGGTCTAACTCCAACACAAAAATACGGCTCGATTGCAACGATTTAGGTATGTACTGCCCCCTATCGCCAGGTAAAACACACACTGTCACTTTAAACTCTGATCTAATGCTTCAAACTGCTATGTAGCCCTGCTAGATTCACATTGACAGAGGAAACGAACAAACCACAGATTTATTTATTCATTCATTAACTTATATTTTGGGAGGATAAACCACTTGATATGAACCATCAGATTGCTCTGTTTGTTCATTTTAATGCCAAGTATTGGGACACCTTTTCTAGAAAACTTTCTGAGTTGTGTTTTCTCTCAAGATGCTACAAAGCATCCTGGAGCTAAAACTAGGTGAGCCTGGTTTGTTCTGATTCATACGCTTTCATCTAACATGCAAACAAAACGGACGTCATCATTTATTAGCTGCCTAAAGGGGCATTATGGAAGTATGACAGCCAAAACATGTATAGAAATAATAAATTTCTTCTTCATACATTCTCCTGCAATGCCCCGGTCCTGTAGAATGAGCCCTGGCATTTTTACTGTGATTGCCTGTTTTTCTGTAAAATCACAGAAAAAGAGAGCTGCTCGTGTCGAGCAGGCTGCTTCATGCGCGTTCACGCTCAGGCATAGCCCGTAGCATTTGCTATCAGTAGCTTTAGAGAGTGAGGTAGTGCCAACTCAGCGACTTTGTCGCTGTTCCTAACGCCTAGTGATGAACCTAGCTACATTTCTGAGGACCCTTAGCTACTTTCTTCTAGACATTTCCTGCAAATTAGCAACAAAATAGCCATTTTCGCTCCGAACTATTCTTTGAACGTTGTTTTAGCTGTAATCAAGGATATAAATATTACAGATACCAAAAACGTCAGTGGTGGTTTAGCTCATCTAGTTAGACGTCGGACTCTAGTGCTGGAGACCCGGGTGAGAACACAGTTTTTTTAGAGTTTCTTTTTTACATTAATGGTACATTTTTTTACAGTAAGATGCCCAAATTTTTATTTGAGACTCGCCGAACAGCAGTGAACTTGAATTCACAGATAAAAAAAATGTGGGTTCAACTTTCATTTTGGAACAATTTTTCAAGCAAGGGAAGGGAATTATCTGAGCATGCAGGAAGACTGACCCATCATAAACCTTTGTCGGCTGCGCTGAAGAGAAAGGTACAGAACCAAATTATTTAATTAATTAGCTGCGTGTTCTCCTGTACTCTGTCCCCCCCCCCCCCCACACACACACACACACACACACACAAGGGACTGTAAGCTCTCTGAGCTCTGTGAAGCTGACCCCCATCAGCTTCGCAGAGCTTCGTCTCAGCTGTTATTTTCGTTAAGGAGTGTGCACGTACAGCATGCGCGCCTCGTGCACGAGCCTCCTATTGAAGCTGCTGTTACGCTTTTGGCCAGAGGGGGCAATCGCGAGCATAAAATTCAGAACTCTGTAAAGTGATAAATGGCCCGCACTTGTATAGCGCCTCTCAGAGTAAGGACTCCAAAGCGCTTTACACTACAGTGTATCATTCATCCATTCACACACATTCACACACTGATGGTGATGAGCTACAATGTAGCCACAGCTGCCCTGGGGCAAACTGTCAGAGGAGAGGCTGCCGAGCACAGGCGCCACCGGTCCCTCTGACCACCACCAGCAGGCAAGGTGGGTTAAGTGTCTTGCCCAAGGACACAACAGCAGAATTCTCTGTCTGGAGCCGGGATCGAACCTGCAACCTTCTGATTACTGGACAACCCGCTCAACCTGTTGAGCTACTGCTGCCCAAAAGTCCCTTTAAAAAGGATCAACCTTCATGATTTCAGCTACAAATCAGTGATTTGTTAAAACAGATGATCAAGAGGATGCTGTGTAGCCTGTTAACATTTAGCTCTTCCCACTGCACACTATATATTTGGCTCCAGTCCCATTGTGAGACGATGAAGCTGTTTCTGCAATTAAATACATGAACAAAGATTTCAGTTGAATAATGCTGAAAACATATTGGTTAGAGAGGCAACGTTAAACAGTATTGACTAACATCTTGTTTTCCATTTTTCTCTCCTGGGATCAAATTTCCCTCCTGACGTGATTGTGGTGTACCCTTACATTTCCATGGCACAAAGACATTAGCAGACATTAACAGAGCTGTGGTTTGCTCTGCTAATGTTACTTATATCCTAGATGATTTTATATCATCATCCATATTTAATAAAAACAATCAAGTGTTTGTGTTAAATAGGCATCTTTAAATAGTTTATAAAGCACAGCTTGCAACAGGTTGTTTAATTTTTGAAAAATATGCAGTTATGGTCATAATTTCTCAATAATTAGCTCTACGTGGAGCATGTCAGTGTTGTTTCTTACCAGTTTTTATTCCAGTTTTTTTTATTATTTTTTTATGTTTTAAGTTTCCTGAGGTCATCTCTCTGAACGTCGGGGGCACATTCTTCACTACGCGTTTGTCCACGCTGCGGCGATACGAGGACACCATGTTGGCTGCCATGTTCAGCGGGCGTCACTATATCCCGCGGGATGCAGACGGGCGCTACTTCATCGATCGGGATGGAACTTATTTTGGGTGAGCAGCCTTGAGCACAATCTTCCTTTTAGACCCTCAAGCAAGTTGGAATGAATTCGTACAGTTTAAAATAATGCTTCATCATTAATGAGAGCTCCTATTCAGACAGATTTTTAGATGATTATTCTGAGTATGGATTAAGATTTTGTGTGGGAGAAAGAGGCTTTTAAATGGTAATGTAATCATGATTGAAGTTTTTGTTTCTAAAATCGGGACAAAATCTGCATTTTAGGAGGTTTTCAGGCTGCTGACGGCAGCTCGTTATATCCTGACAGGTAGCATGAATCCATCATTCAGTGAAGCTGACTGGACCCTTGTGCTCTAAACTGATTTACGTATCTATTTCTGTGCTGCTGCTTTTTCCCATTTGTTGCTCGTTAGCTGACACACAGGCTCTCCTGATTTATCTGAGGTAGGATTAACAGTGATGACATGGTGGGCTTTATTATAGCCGTGTCCTCCTGTATTATGGAAATGTGAGGAGATCTGAATGGAGCCAGGAGGAAATCCTGAAAGAGTTCAACTAATTAACCGTCATGAGTTTTGTGTGTGTTTCAGAGTATATCTTTGTGCCTAACTGCATCGGTCTGCAGATGACACAAATCACTTGTGTCTGGTAACTGGTGCACACGTACAAACTAAAGTGTTTACAGAGAACGCTGCAGCACAGAAGAGGCCATTAAAGTTGCATTTTCTATGCAAGAGCCAAGTTTATTTCTGTAACAAACATTTTTATCAGTGTGGTAAAGATGATAACTCAGACCTCCTTTTGGAGATACAAGCTTAGCAGGATAAATGTTGTGTATGCAAACGCCGTTCAGTGAGAGATCACAGATTGACCAGGCACACCTTTACAGCTACCTCCTCTTTATTCCCCTGGTCACATCATCCTCTCAAACGTTTAATGAGACATCCATTAATCATACAAGATGTATCTCTGTCTCCACCCTTCAATAGGGTCGGGCATCGTTTGAGTTTGAGCGATTCCAATTCTTCGTTTTGATACTGCTTCCCATCGATTTCGGATTCTTTCAAGTGGCAGGATCCAAAAACATTACATGTTTTAAATGAGCCAGCTAACCCACACGTCTTACTTAATGAAATAACCTGAATTTTAACATGAATTTTATTTCTATGAACATTAACAACTCCTTCATTTAGACAAAAACATGTTTTCAAGAAAGAAAGGAGGAAAAAACTTGCAGCACAATCAGTGTCTTTGTTTCTGACCACAACCCGAGTATGAGAAGTAAAGAAGCCTCTAGGATGAGAGGCAAACATCTTCAACATCACCTGAAAAGTCCAGCTGTTTTCAACTAAAATGCTCAGGATGATCACATCCAGGGTGTACACCTACATGCTGCAGCAACGCTTCAGTTAAAGGGAAACTGAAACTTAAATGTGGCTGCTGTCAGTAACAATCTATGAATCCAAGTAAAAATCTCACAACTTTGTGTGCTGTGAGATTTTTTTAATTTATTTATTATCCCCATCAGCTCCTAGTAGGCAGAACCTGGTGTGGTCCACCAGTCTAGAGGACGTGCTATCATGATGACTTTAAATATTTTACAGGTTATTTACTCAGCCTTCTGACAGTCGCGCTCACACACACACACACACACACGAGAGTTGGTGAGTGGCTGCGTTTGACTGTTGATGCTCTGTGTTTTTATTTCTGCAGTGAGCCAAACTCGCCTCACACTGCCCGGAGTTGGTTCTTTAAAACTTCTATTAAATTCACCTGTTGACGTTTTAACGAGCTTCCTCCGTGCCGTATTTTTCGCTGCAGGATGCAACTTTACACCTCGGGAGTGAAAGTACGACAGATGCGTTTGTATACATTTTTTGCCGCTGCGTGCCTGCGCAGTTGAGGCAAGGGAAGGGGACACGATCCTGCTGTCAGGGTGTCTGCAGGCTGCAGAGTAGGACCGACCGACAGCTGGTGTGATCAGCTCAGAAAGGCGTTTATCAGAGATCGGCCTCGGATTCTTCTTCCGGTTGTCAGCCTGGGAATCAAAACTAGGAATCAAAATTTTAAAATTTGAACGATTCCGGGAAAAACTGACAGTTAGTCCCATTTCCAATTGATGCCCAAACCTTCCCTTCAGCAATCCTCCTCCACATCCACCCAAATCAAATCAAATCAAAGCTTTATTTATATATATATATATTTTTTTTATTTTTTTTTTTATCGTGTCCTGTCTGGCTGTGAAGCAAGCAGAATTGATGTCTGAATGCTGGTGACAAGCCTTACAGATTTATTCTCAGGTGGAGCATCAAAGCGTTTGCTTTTAATGTCACGCCTGATACTTAAAACTTTATTGTTATTGTTGTTGAATGCTTTGTAATTCCGACCAGACATGGAGACAGAGGTGAAAGAGAAAGGAAAAGAAAAGGTGGGGAGAGAGAGGGGGGGGGGGGGGGTTCCACAAAAATAAACAATAATGAACAAGAGTCTGCTTCTAGACCTGCAGAAAAAGAGAGAGAAAAAAAAAGGACACAAAGGGACACAACAACAATACAACAAGATCTACCTATCACTGCGTCAACTTGATGAAAAAAAAAATATATATATATAATCAACATTGCTTAACTGAAGAATCACTATAATAAATCACAATGCATTAAGTGCCCACCATAGTCTTAAGACCTGTGTTTAACGTGCCCAAGCCCATACTTTTGAGAGCACCATGTGAGCACCTGTGTGTGTACACGCGCTTGTTTATTTAAGGTTTCTCTATAGGAGCGCCCAACAGAGAGTGTGAGGAACCACAGATCCGCCCCCAAAGATGCGCAGGAGACGGGGGGAGCTCCAAGTCCCAGAGATCCAGGCGCTGCCCCAGAACGCAGGAACCCCAAGGAGACTGCAACCAGGAAGGTCCCCGCCCCCCTCGATAGGCACAGAGGATCTCCCCGGGGGGCCACAACCAGCAGCCGGCAGAGTCCCTGGAGATATCAGCGGCAAGCCCACAGGCCCGCCCGCAGCCTCCCACCCCCTAGCCGGCCGAGCCCGGGACCCAGCGACCCGGGACCCAGGGGCGACCACCCCCGCCTTCCGCAACCCTGTCAGGAAGCCCAAGGCGCTGACCACCCTCCACTTCCAGCTCCACCTTAAGGCGACCGAGCGCACTCCTCTCAGCTAGCTTTGCCCTGGATCTGCAGTCATCCAGCAGCACAACTGGTACTCTAACACCACTTCTGTTTCCATGGATGATGGAATTAGAAGATAGTTTCACTGTCTCCCTAACAGAATAAAGGACCCCCTCTCTCTCTGCCATTGTGTGGCTTTTTGCTTAATCAGGAAAGCAGCATTTATGTGTCTGGAGGCGGCTTATACTGCAACCGACCACTGGAGGGTACTTGTTTTGTTTTTGTATGAAATTTCAGGTTCTGTTTGGATGTCGTGTTTATGACACCTCTAGAAATGTGATTCGTTCACTCCATGCCTGGTTCTAATCCTCTGGGTACCGTGCATGCACAGAAACACTCTTCAGTCTGGACCAAAACAGACCAGCACGATTGTCCCCCGAGCCTTTCGGATGGATGGTCCAAAAAGCAAAAGCAAATTTCTTTAAATATAAATGTGATAACGAGCAGAGACATGTGGCTTATGTAAGGCAAGGGTTGGTCTGAGGTCAGTTGGGTAACGCGTGTTTGTGTGAGCCATAATTAAAGATTTAAACATGAAGAGAATGAGAGCTGGAATGTGGCCGAGCGTCAGAGACTTTTGTCTCGATGAAACATCTTGGTTTGGTTTTGATCAGGTCAGAAACCTTCAAACCTGCATGTTGTATATTTGTTATTTTGTCTTCACAAGTCAACAAATCATTCAACTCCTGCAGATAAAATACAGAAACAAGAGATTAAATAGATGTTTTCATCCAAACTGGAGATGGTAGCTGAATGTATGACTGAGCTGAAGCCATGTTGGTGTTTGCTCTGATCTGCTGTGGCAGCCATATTGAATTAGGCTTGCTCCAAAAGGTTGTCGACGCATCTAAAGATGACTTCATATAACCAGTGGTTCATGAGATGATTTGGTAGCAAGTAGAAAAAAATTGTATTCGCATTTTGGCAGTTGGAGAAGATAATGAACTGTTTTGGGTGTCATTAAGTAGAAGATTCTTTGTGTGAAACAACATTTTATTTCGATCCAAAGGGACATCCTAAATTTCCTGCGAGAAGGAGAGCTTCCTCACCGGGACCGAGTCCGAGCAGTGCACAGAGAGGCTCAGTACTACTCCATCGGCCCACTGCTGGACAACCTCGAGGACATCCAGCCTCTCACAGGGGAGAAGGTCCGGCAGGCTTTCCTGGATCTGATGCCCTACTACAAAGGTAAAGTGAAATCCAACACCACCCTTTGCAAAGAAAAGAAAATACTTTATTTGTTTAAATCAGTTTTGGTCTCAAAAACACCAGAAAGGAAGTCGAGAACATAAACGGGGTAGATGCAGGTCTGGTTTAGGACAGTAGAAACACTCCCTGCTGCTTTCAGCATTAAAATTTCATTCATGATTTGAGGTGCACACATTACAACATGAACAACTAAAGTCTAGTTGATTTATTTATAGGGCACATCTAAAATTTAAACGTGTTGAGCGAAGTGCTTTAATGATAAAACCTAGTAACACACAGGAGCCTGGAGGACAAGAAATGGGGATTAACAGGTTTAAATAAGAATAAATGAAAAAAGCTCAAATCAAAACAAAATCGGTTTGAAAATAGACAAAAATTAAGAAGAGACAATGGTGCCCACTTGATCACAAGCTCCGTTAACAAGCATAAATATTTAAAATCGCCATTAATTAATGTAACTGGTCTCATTTCAGACAATCTGGAGCGCATTGTGGAGATTGCCAAACGGAGGGCCATGCAAAAAAAGGCACGCTTCGCCAAGCTGAAGATCTGTGTCTACAAAGAGGAGATGCCCATCACGCCGTACGAGCGTCCTCTCTTTAACTCTCTGCGCTTTGAGCGCTCGGAGAGCGAGGCCAAGTTCTTCGAGCACCACTGCGAGGTGGACGTGTCCTTTGGGCCATGGGAGGCGGTGGCAGATGTTTATGACCTGCTGCATTGCATCGTCGGCGACCTGGCAGAGCGCGGCATCGCTGCCGAGCAGCAGTGCATCGGCGTCTGTGACAAACACCTCATTAACCACTACTACTGCAAGAGGCCCATCTACGAGTTTAAAATCACGTGGTGGTGAAGCTCCGAGGACGCGCTCGCTCCTGATTGGACCAAAACACAAATGGATATTTGTTTCACTTTTACTTAAACACTTAACAAAGAAAATGTTTTTGTATAGAAATTGCAGACATTTTGTGCAGATGTCTTAAAATGTGACCCTTTAAATCTCAGTGAGTATAGTTTCTGTTTTTACGTAATATATTTTTGTGGTTTTTTTCCAAATAATGCAACAAAACAAAAAAATCAGAAGCGACACGTTCCAATGATAAGCAAATGAAAATCGATATGCTGCATGGCGCTATGTACCTCATGACATCACTGCTGGGCGTGGTCACAGGCACTAACGTCAAATCACAGCCATAAAATATAAATCTATATAATTCAGAAAGATCTGTCAAATTTCATTCCACCTTAACTGTTCCTCTGCTTGAACATTAGCTAGCGCACCAAGCCAAATATGTGAAGATGTCCTTGACATAAATATAAATAAAACACTTGAAGTCACAACAAAGCACAAATAACACGAGTTAAAACAAGACGCGTTTTGATTTTCCAGGTGAAGTGAGACTTTCCTCCGCTCCTCCCATTTTCTGGAACGGGTGAGATTTTAGAGATGAATGTCCCTAGCCTTAAACTCAAACCATCAACCAGTATTCCCATTTTAGTAGGATTATTGAAAAAGATCATTTATTCAACACATTTAAAGCTTAATGAAGGAAGCTCCTTGTTCATCTGAGAAAGAGATCGTAATTCTCATTTTTATACACTCCGTGCTTGAATTAGGTTAAGATAATATTTGTCCAGTAGCAGCTCTACAAATGGAAGCAGTTGATGTCAGACACACTCATTGGGGCAGAGACTGCTGTATCGAACTGACAGACTCCCTTCATTTTTAATTAAAATGCATCTTCTCACTTTCTACATTCACACAATTATCACCAGTTTAAGAAGTTAAAAAGCTTCAAATGTCATTTGTTAGGCTTGGATGTGGTAACTTTAGATCTGAAGAAGCAGCAGCGGTTTAGTTGGAGACGTTGGACTCCAACTAGGACTGAAACCACTGCTGATTGTGTTCTCGTTGGCGGCTTTGCCTGATCCTACATTAGAGTAAAACCGGTTAAGCTAATTGTCCTTAGAAATCTCAAATGTGTTGTTTTCCGCATTCATTCACGTTTATAGCAGTTACTTTACCCTGATTTTTCACCACAAATCCACATGTCCCAATGTTTGTAGTCCAGATCAAATGTGGTGATAAAAAATTGTAAACTGTAGATTTTGTGAACATTTTGAATATACTTTTATGATTCCTAGTCTTGAAGTGTGTGTGTGTGTGTGTGTGTGTGTGTGTGTGTGTGTGTGTGTGTGTGTGTGTGTGTGTGTGTGTGTGTGTGTGTGTGTGTGTGTGTGTGTGTGTGTGTGTGTGTGTGTGTGTGTGTGTGTGTGTGTGTGTGTGTGTGTGTGTGTGTGTGTGTGTGTGTGTGTGTGTGTGTGTGTGTGTGTGTGTGTGTGTGTGTGTGTGTGTCAGTCAAACGAAGGCTGGGGTGTATTTCTTCTGTCGAACATCAGCAGGGGCTTCTGTTGTAGGCGATTGAATGGAAGTGTTTGTTGCACTGATGAAAACGTGCCATTATTATTGTTGTTGTAAACATGTGGAGTCATCGTTGGAAGGTCTGGCTTGTTCTCGTCAGTTTCAGGGAGAATCTTTGATCTGCACTAGCTGCTTTTCCTTCATTGTGTCATTACTAGTCCTGTTGTACTTGACAACTATGTCTCAGCACCTTGTGATTGTACTTAAAGATTTTATTTATTTATTTTTAAAATAAACTGTGATTAGCACCTTCATTATTTATTACAGATGACAACACTTTTGCATCACATTTATCTTTGCTAATTTAGCAAACGTCTTGGATTTGTTTGTTGATTCTTGACACAAGGCAGGAACAACTCCCATGTTCTTCTGAAATATTAATATTGATTTCAGTGTTTATATGATTATCTGTTTGTTGTAGCTTCTAGGAAGCTCTAAGTCAGTGCTTGTTTTATTTGTTGTTGGTAAATAAAAGTACATTTTTATTATCGTATAAATAAAATTCATAAAATGTTACCTGAGGGATTTCTCTCTCTCTGTCTCTCTCTGGGGGGGGGGGGGGGGGGGGGGGGGCTCCATAATAGACAGTCACTATGCTTATTCTAATTCTTCAGGCAATTTATTAATATGAATTAACACATATTGAAAACTAAACTAAGTATTTTAGGTGATAAATCTTTAGGAATATGTAATCGTTATAAATGGTGTCAAAAACAGGAAGTTGAGCGTTATTTCACATTTGCATGCAAGTTGCTCTGTGAAAAATTCTCTTATTCCTAAAATTTTTATGAAATTTATTTTTGTGTGATATGAGATGTTGAATAGACTAATGGAACTGTTGGGGCCCAGTAATCTGAAAGAAAACTATGTAAAAGAATCATACATGGAAGTTAACCCATCCAGTCATCTGTTTTTTTAAATAAAACTATTCTATTGGGATAGTTTCAAATTCTGGGATGTATCTCACTTCATGATAACTGCTGATTATTTTTTTATTTAAACTGAAACTTTGATGGCTAAATAGTTCAGAAAATCCAATGGATGAAATAAACATCCTCTTATCAATAAGACTTGGAGCTGTGCATGAGGCGAGGGGCATACCATTCATCATTGGGTCAGAGGGTTCAGTAAGCCATTACCCACAATCCATTTGAAATCACAACCTGGCCACTCACAGACGCCTCTTGCACATGCTGGCAGTTTGTTTGAATGTTCAATGACTCAGCTCACTACTCCGCTGTTGTAGTCATGCCGACACAATCAGTGACCCATATGCTGCCTGTCACTTTTGTTTGAAAGCTGATTTATTCAGCCAGCTGGAAGGTTATCATGTTGATTTTGTAACAGAACCACAAACAAAAACTGCTTGTATAACCACGCATAAATCAAAGGCTGAAATACCTATAATCAACTGGATGTTGATGCAAAAACATAACCAACTCCCTCTAGGGGCTGGCTGCAGCATGAGGTTTAAGCTCTGTCATCTATGTGAACCAAACAATTTCCTAAATAAAAAGTAAAGATACATCTCAGATCATGTAGCACTTAATATTCGATCACATTGCTTCTCCTACCACTGCTTTGTCGACGACACCCAGCTCTATCTGTCATTCCCACTGGATGACCTCACTGTCTCTGCATGAATCTCGAACTGTCTTTCTGACATATCAAGATGGATGAAATCCCACCATCTCCAACTCAAACTCTCAAAAACTGAATTACTTGTCATCCCAGTGAAACCATCCATATGGCACAATATCTAAATCCAAAACGATTCTCTATCTTTGGCTCCTTCAAAGGCAGTTCGAAACTTGGTGTTGTGATTGATGACCAGCTGACCTTTAAAGTTCACGTTGCCTCTGTCGCTTGTTCATACTGCTTCATGCTGTACAACATACAAAAGGTCAGACCATATCTAACTCAACATGCCGCCCAGCTCCTGGTGCGATCTACTGTCATCTCCCGCCTCGACTACTGCATTGCCCTTCTACCTCTTCCTGCCTGTACTGTGAGATGTCTTCAAATGGTCCAGAATGCAGCGGAGCGTCTGGTCTTCATTCAGCCTAAAAAAGCATATATCACCCTCTGTTCATTGAGCTCCACTGGCTACCGCTAGCTGCTCGTGTGAAATTCAAATCGCTAGCACTAGCATACAAAGTCCTGGATGGTACGGCTCCCATCTACCTGAATCCTCTTTCAAAGGCTTACGTCGTGGCCCGGCCGCTACGGTCATCAATGGATCGTCGGCTAGCAGTGCCTACACCACGCTCAGGACAATCCAGACTCTTTTCATGTGTTGTTCCACAGATGTGGAATGACCTACCAAGCACTACTAGAACAGGGGGTTCCATGTTGATTTTCAAGAAGCTCCTGAAGACCCAGATCTTCAGAGAGCATCTTCTAAACTAGCACCCTCCCAGCACCCGTCCCCCACTCTACTGCACAGTCCATGTTCGCTTCCCTCTATGATTGATTATGCTGCCTCACTGCCACCTAGGATTGACTGAATAGTGTTTGTTGCTAGCCTTAAGGGCAACCTGCTGGCTTGATTATCACCTGTAAGTCGCTTTGGACAAAAGCATCTGCTAAATACATAAACCTGCTGTTGTATATCAATATGTTTATTTTTCTAATATGTGTATTATTTAATTATTTCTTTGAAACCAAAAATTAAAACACTGAATGAATCCTATAACCATAGTTATGTAATGTTTCGAAATGTTATCCAGTGGATTAATTATACACAATTCATTCATTAATTTGACAATAACAAAATATTTCATTTAAGTAAATTTTAGATATTAAAATGAGTTAAACTTTTTTAAAACTTTAATGTTTTAAAATATACATTTTGTGGAAACAGCCTTCAAAGCAAGTATTCTGTGATATCTTGGCCACCATTTTCATTTGATGTTCGATGTGAGAAGTTTTTGCCATTTTGATGCAACAAGTGTTTTCACACATCTGTAGGAGATGCATGGTCACCAGATGTGTTCATGTCTGTGAAGAACAACAAACTGAATTGCACTTGATGGCAACACGACCATTCACGTTGCCCTCCAGATTTTATTTTCCACAGCAAGGTTATGTCTGCTTTTTTCAGCCTTTGTGGGGAAAAGTGACTCATTCTTTTTCTTGGGCTTGTTCAGGCTTTGTTCACATCATCAGTTTGCCTCCCCTTGAGTCTTAAGTGATCACTCAACATACCAGTAGCTACTCCTCTGATGTTGTTTTGCTGTCGTTTGAAGCTGTCATGTGTTGACTCAGTTGCCTTTTCAACTAAAGTGGATCTCTGAAGGGCTTCGTGGTGATTCTGAATCAATCATTTGTGAAGCTGCAATGACCTCAACTGTGCAGCTATGAACAATACGTTTTGTTTTGGATGAAAACATTGAGTGTCCAGATATGGCATTCAAATAACATCCTGAACAAGCCCCCAGTTGTGAAGTTATGGCTTAAGCAAACATTGAAAAGACAACAGTGGATTCAAAACAGATTGATGCAAAAATGCACGGTAGGAATCAGGTTCTTCGACTTCTCAAGTGCCTTCGATACCATCTGGCCGTGTCTACTGCAACAAAAGATGAGGGGTGCAGGAATGGACAAACTGTATGGACCATCAACTACCTCACCGAAGGGCACAGTACGTAAGACTGCACAATTGTGCATCTGAGGTGGTTGTGTGCAGCATTGGAGCTCCACAGTGTACAGTGCTCTCTCCCTTTCTCTTCACCTTCTATACCTCGGACTTCACCTACAACACCAGCAGCTGTCACCTCCAGAAGTTCTCTGATGACTCGGCCATTGTTGGCTGTGTGTCTTAGGGGAATGACCTGAAGTACAGGTCAGTCATCATGGACTTTGTTGACTGGTGTGAGCGTAACCACCACGCTTGAATACCAGTAAGACAAAGGAAATGGCGATTGACTTCCAAAAAAACACTTCCCCTCACTCACCAGTAAACATCCAGGAAGCAGACATAAAGGTGGTGGATACCTTTAAGTACCTGGGTGTTCACCTCAACAATAAACTTAACTGATCCAATACCACAGATGCTCTGCATAAGAAGGGCCAAAGCCGCATCTACCTCCTGAAGAGCCTGAGGTCCTTCAGAGTTTATGCATGCCCCCCCCCCGCATCCAATATTCCTACTGCGTGTGTGTATACACATGTACCTTTGGTATTATTTTTCTCCAAATTAATCTCTTAGGTGTTGCTGCTGTAACAATTGAATTTCCCCACTGTGGGATCAATAAACTCTATTCTATTCTACTCTATAAGCTCCACCCACAACACAAGGGGTGTGGACCAACCAGCTGACCTAAAGGATCTGTGTAATAGTGTTCTGTGAAGATTATTCAACCTAGTTTGTGTGATGAGGTAAATTTAAGGAAATGAAATTATAAATATCTTATATTTCCTATAATAGACATTTTTAATAATAATGCCACTGATGTCTGTTTTAGAGACTTTTGTCCCAAATTTAATCCAGCAGTGAGAAACAGCCCAACTCCAGAATAAAGAGTAGTCATTGAAGCTATAAATAGAAAGATTTTTATGACAACTCAGACAATGTAAAGGACATGTCATCCTACAGCAAATGAATCACAGTTTAACAAAAGGTGCAAACTAATATTTCAACATAGTTGTTTTCATCAGAAACTGTAATTTCCCTCTGGGATTAATAAAGTATGTTTGATTTGATTTGATTGATTGATTGATTGTTTACTAACCGGTGATGATCTGGAATTATATCCGGACCAGTGACATACAATACTATCTACAAAAGTGCTGAACCTCAATAAAGACAACCAACTTAATTTGTTTAACAAGAATAACGATTACAAACTCAACAGGTTGACATGAACAGGTAGTTGACATAAACAGTAAAGCAGAAATTAAAAAACTGAAATAAGCCATCAGGAATTTGCTTACAAAATAACTCAATTCAAGTCAGTCCCTACGATTGTTGAGGCCAAAGGCGGAGAGGCAGAGAGACCTCAGGGGCCTCGGGAGCTGACAGTGGAGGCAAAGGAACCTTGGCAGCCAATGCCAACGGCGCAGAAAGCTCAGGGAGTTGGGGAGGTTGGAGACCAGCTAGGGATGAGGACTTGAACCCAGGTGGTGGAGGCAAGAACTTGTCTGGAGATCGGAACACAGAAGGCAGGAACTTGTCTGGTGGCAGGAACTCTTCCAGAGGCAGGAAATCATTGGGAGGCAGAAACACAGAAGACAGGAACATGTCGGGAGGCAGGAACTTATCTGGATGCAGGACACCATTAGGCAGAGACAGGAACTCAGGAGGAGGCAGAAGACCAGGAGACGGGGCAGAAGATCCTTAGGAGGTTCTCAAAATCAGAATCCTCACCAGTGAAGTGAGACAATCTGGAGGCGGAGACTCAAGGTGCTTGACTTAGACCTCTGGGTGCAGCTGCACTTGTTCGGCTTGAACCTCTAGGTGCAGCGACAGGTGCTAAGCTAGGCGGAACCTGACTTACAGGAGGGTGGAACCTACGACAAGACGTCAGGGGTCATGTGGAACCCCTCACATCCACAGGAGAAGATGAGGTGGCTTCAGGAGTAGTGCAGTGCTGGAGATGTCATCTAGTAGGTGGATAAGGGTGAGCCTGCTCCCATCATCGCAGACCATAACCTGAAGGATACAGCACCAGCTGGAAACCAGCAAAGTGGGATCTGTCACCTTTAATCTCCTTCACACTCACCCACAAGACTGAACGAGGCCCACTAGGATGAACCCTAGGAGCAGCTCTGCAGGGGCGGTGGCTTTTTTGGGTGTACAGCAGAGTTATAGAAAAGTTTGTCCGACCAGCCAAGGATGCCTAGGATGCATAGATCGCACCCTCTCCTCTGCTGGAGAAATTCAAAAATTCTGACCTGCTCACCGCTGGGTTTTTGTAAACTGAACTAGATTTATTATCTGAGGGCAGGAAGGAACAGGTAAGACACAACAAGGTTCTGACAAACGCTAACAGAAGGTTTAAATACACATAGTTAATCAGGACAGGTAAGTAGGAAACAGGGGACATGACATCAATAGGGAAGACAAAACACAGAATGGTAGGTGTTTTGTGTGGCCACACACTGACGGAACAAAGCTGTTGTATCCATGATATATATTTTTTTCATGTTTAGAAAATCTTTTGACAATTTTAAACTGTGAACCAGGCTGTAGCCTCACTGATTGGTGGTTTTCTTCCATGTGATTCTGTCAAACACTTTAGTGATCGCTGATCAAGTTGATGTTCCCTACTTTCCGTTTTTAATAGTACCCTAATCAGATGTTTCATCTGCTTGATACCAATGATCTGATGCTTCTGAAGTATGCAAGGTTTTTGTTTTAAGAAAGTTCTTTGTTGTATCTTGATGGCGTTAGACAGAGGATGTATCTTTGGCTGTTTAGGAAATAAAAAGCTAAGTACTCACTGCATCAATTGGGGTTAAGCTGAAATACAAAGACCCGAACTGCCAACCACCGCATGCTAGCCCACCTAGCCAGGTCGGCTGATCATATGATCAAACACGGCAACTCCACCATCAACTTCGGCCTACTGAACATTTGCTCTCTAACGGGAAAAGGGCATCTCGTCCATGATCTCCTTTCTGACCATAAACTTAACTTTCTCTGCTTGAATGAAACTTGGCAACACCCTAATAATGACTTTATTTCACTCAATAACTCCACTCCGCCTGAGTTTGTTTACATCTGTAAACCTCGGGAGTCAGGGAGGGGTGTAGGTTTCGCGATAATTCACCAGAAGCAGTGGAAAGTCTCTCCAGTCTCTGCTACATCCTTCCACTCATTTGAATACAGCGCATTACAACTCCCTGGATCCACTCCTACCATCATATGTACTGTCTACCGCCCACCTAAGCCGCATAAGGACTTCTTAAATAACTTTACTGCTCTCCTCACTCACTTTTCCATACTCTCTCCCAATCTGATAATCACTGGTGATTTTAACATTCACATGGATGAAAATAATCTTCTTACCAGAGACTTTACTTCCTGTATAGATAGTTTTGGACTCAAACAGCATATCAACTTCCCCACTCACTCCAAAGGCCATATTCTGGATCTGGTCTGCTGTTCGGGTATTACCCCAGCCCAATGCATAGCCAGTTCTTTTCCTCTTTTAGATCATAAGTTATTCATGTTTAATGTAACTATAAAGGCCTCTAAAACCCTTATCCCTCGCAATATTGCTTTGAGAAAAATCAACAATATAAATCTTGATGCATTCTCCTCTGCAATATCTGATCTACAGCCTGCTCACACTACCTCATCACCTGAGGATATTGTTTTTAACTATAATTTTAATCTAAATAGCATTCTCAATACTTTTGCCCCAATTAAGCAAAGATCTGTCTCATTTAACCGCTCAGCACCTTGGTTTAACTACGACCTTCACTGTCTTAAATCCGAAGGGCACAGATTGGAACGTTTGTTTAAGAAAACCGGTCTCACTATCCATAAAGATCTATATAAGAATCACGTATTGCATTATAAAGACTCCATTCACACAGCTAAATCGGTTTGCTATTCTAATTTTATCAGCTGGAGTGAAGGTAACTCCAAGACCCTTTTTTCGCTGTTCTCCAAAATTACAAAGCCTCCTGATTTATTGCTTAACAGTATGGTTTCCTCTGACTATTGCAACTCCCTCATGTCCTTCTTCACATCCAAAATCTCAAATATTCACCAACAACTCCATGCTACTAGAGATCCTCTTTCAGAAGTTGAACCCATCCTGACAACTCCAAGTCATTTATTCTCAAGTTTCAGTCTCCCCTCTGTAACTGAGATATTAAATTTAATCAGGGAATCCAAATCATTCACCTGTCAGCTTGACCCTCTCCCCACAGTGCTACTTAAAGCCTGTCTTCCATCATTGGTTCCTCTCACATCCACCATAATTTACTCTTCCCTCAGTACCAGAGTTGTTCCCGCAACATTAAAAACTGCCTGTATCACTCCGATTCTCAAAAAGCCCGGTGCGGATCCCACCAACTTTGATGACCTTCGTCCAATATCTAAATTACCATTTATTTCCAAAATCCTTGAAAAAGTTGTTGCTTCTCAGCTTCACTCTTATCTCAGTTCTCATAATCTATATGAACAATTCCAATCTGGTTTCAGACCACAACACAGCACGGAGACAGCACTAGTAAAAATCACAAATGATCTACTAATGGCAGCAGACTCAGGCCATCTCTCCATTCTGGTTTCACTAGATCTAAGTGCTGCATTTGACACCATTTCTCACAGCATACTTCTCAAAAGATTAGCATCTACCAGCATTTGTCACACATCCCTAGCCTGGTTCACCTCATACATATCGGATCGTACTCAGTTCATTCAACTTAAATCTCACTCTTCTAGTCCTTCCCCGGTTACTGCAGGAGTTCCCCAAGGCTCAGTTCTAGGTCCTCTCTTATTTATCATCTATTTGCTCCCCCGTTACATTTTCCACAAATACAACATTGATTTTCACTGTTATGCTGATGACACCCAGCTGTACATTTCATCCAATCCAAATGCATCCCTTCTACCAATTCTCCCTCTCTAACCGTCTATCTGAAATTAGATCTTGGCTCTCTCAGAATCTACTTGAACTTAACAGCAATAAAACAGAACTCCTACTCATTGGCACTGCTTCAGTTTTAAAAAATTCTCCCAATTTCTCTATCAATATTGACGACACTACAGTTCACCCATCTTTACAGGTAAAAAGTCTTGGTGTCATACTAGATGGTACACTTTCATTCCAATCTCACATTAACCATGTTACTCCGGCCGCATATGACCATCTTTGCATATCAACAGATTCCGTCCTTTTCTCACGCCTCATGCTGCTGCAATCCTCGTTCATAGTCTCATCACCTCTCGCGTTGACTACTGTAATTCCCTTCTATTTGGTCTCCCAACTAAATCCCTTCATAAACTCCAACTTCTCAAGAACTCTGCAGCACACATCATTACTGGGACCCCCTCAAGAAATCACATCACTCCTGTTCTTAAAAACCTACACTGGTTGCCAATAGAAACCAGGATCATATACAAGATCCTACTTACATTTAAATCTATACAAAGCATGGCTCCACTTTATCTATGTAACTTACTAACTATGGCAACCACTTCCCAATCTCTTAGATCCTCATCTACACTTCATCTGGTTCAACCTCGAGCTCGCCTTACCACCCTGGGGAGCAGAGCTTTCAGTTGCTCTGCTCCACGGCTCTGAAACTCACATCCCTCTGCCATTAGAAATACGGACTCTTTTCCATTATTCAAGCACAGCTCAAAACCCACTAATTCAAACAAGTTTATTCCCTTTAGACCTAGACTTTAGAATTGTTTCGAATTTTTATGTATCTTGTTTGTTCTTATTGCCCTGTCTAACCTCTGTTGTTTTTTGTTTTTATTTTTGTAAGGTGACCTTGGGTTTGAGAAAGGCGCCCTCAAATAAAATGTATTATTATTAGTATATGTTTGGGGCAGCAGTAGCTCAACGGGTTGAGCGGGTTGTCCAGTAATTGGAAGGTTGCAGGTTCAATCCCGGCTCCGGACAGAGAATTCTGCTGTTGTGTCCTTGGGCAAGACACTTAACCCACCTTGCCTGCCGGTGGTGGTCGGAGGGTCCGGTGGCGCCTGTATTCGGCAGCCTCGCCTCTCATCTCCACCAGTGCATGAATGTGTGTGTGAATGAATGAATGATACACTGTAGTGTAAAGCGCTTTGGAGTCCTTACCCTGAGCGGCGCTATACAAGTGCGGGTCATTTATCATTTATTATTCTGGATGCTGGGATTATCCTGTAGTAGCTGTTTACTTATCTGATTTATCGTTTTTATTGTGCATAAAGGCTGGTTACCGGTACATTCACTCTCTCCGCCTCTTCCTCTCTCTCTCCCTCTCCCTCACCTCACTGCCCGTCTCTCTACCAGCTGAGTGGTGGGGGGGCTGACGGACGTCTCTTTCTCCGTGGATGGATGAAGAAGAGAGGGGTGAATAGTGTCTCTCCTCCCCGGTCTGAGCGTTCAGGTTACCGGAGACTCCAGCGAACAGCAGGGACGTTTCAGGGCTTACAATGACAAGAGAAGCGATTGATCAGCTGCACGAGGTAGGAACTCTGTGCGCGCGCGGTTCCTGTTGGCGATTATCGCATGTTAATATGTAATAATCTGGTGTGTGTGTGTGTGTGTGTGTGTGTGTGTGTGTGTGTGTGTGTGTGTGTGTGTGTGTGTGTGTGTGTGTGTGTGTGTGTGTGTGTGTGTGTGTGTGTGTGGTGGGTGGGGTGGGGTGGGAGGGTAGTTACATAACAAGACGAATTACAGATTAATTAAATATAAATTAAAAAACAAGAGCGTGAATGATCGTGATGAAGAGGAGGAGGATGAGGGAGAATCAGCCGGTGGGATGCAGAGGATGAAGAAAATGTTCCAGGCTGGAGGAGCATGCAGGCCCTCAGAGAGAGGAGCTCCAACCAGGCTCGCTGCTGCTGCATGTGAAGGCACAAACATTAAGAGGCTTTTTATTCTCCTTCTGATTATCTGAATCACCTCCGTTACCATAACAACGGGAAATCTCCAGTCCGCCTGTTTGTTCTGCTTTCCTGCGGATGCACCTGATCCCATGGCTGAGCCTGCTCCGCACTAAAACTATATAATACTTATCGTTACGCACGAAGCTGGTCGGACCTGTTTTATCGGTGAATACCCGGAAACAAAAACAGAAGATTGACCAGACAGTGTTTGAACTCAAAATATGCTTTAAAATGTTTAAATTTTGTCATCAGTTTGACAGCGGCTCGTGATCTGAGCATTGTTTATGCTTCTTTTAAACACCATTCTGTTCAAATCTACCTTAAACGAGCTCAAACTGGCTGGGAGTTTTACAACTCATAATAACCATAGTGGCTGCTGCTGTGTGCATTCAGGAATCAAATATCTCGTAAGTCTCTCTGGGATTTCAGATCATGTTTTAATCAAATCAATAAATCCGGACTGTAATATCATGTAAACAAATTTAATGTCCAATAAAACCAGTAAGGAGCTCTAAAGCTCATTATATAAGTAGGCTGATCTCAGGTATAGTTAGGCTAGATGAACAATATCAATCAGGTTTATTCTTGTTCTTCAGAATGATTGTGCATCTTGTTTTTCCCAGTCACATGTTCAAACTGGTGCAAATCTTATAAAGTTGGTTTATGATCAATAATATCATTATTATTATTATTATTATTATTATTATTATTAGTAGTAGTAGTAGTAGTAGTAGTAGTAGTAGTAGTAGTAGTAGTAGTAGTAATAATACATCTGTTAGAGAACTAGCTTTGCCAGTCCAAATGGAGCCATGCTACAAATGGATTTGTAGTGCGACTCGGGTTGCGAATGACCACAGTCACCAATTCTTTGAATTGTGTGTACTGAAACTCTAATTTCCCTCTGGGATTAATAAAGTATTGATTGATTGATTTCTTACAATTTAAAACAACTAATCTGAAATAATTCATATATCATAAATCTCCACACTTCTGTGAGTGTCCTGGTTGTAGAAATCAGTGACAGAACTATATGGGATTTCCTACTTTGCAGGACAAACATAGGGAGTGCTGGCTGGGCTGGGTGACACTTTGATAGGCTACTTGTGTTTCTACAAAAAACATCTTCTCATTTCCAACAATCACAGGTTTGTCTTAATCCTTATTATACTTTTTAAAGTAGATAGTGGCTGGGGAGAGGGAAGTCTGGGCCTATCTGCTATATGATGCCACCATGACCAAACCCAGAATAAGCAGAAGTGGATGGATGGATGGATGGATGGATGGATGGATGGATGGATGGAAAGAGACACCATCCTCATCACCCCGCTGAATTAGCTTAGCTTCCAGTGTTGAGCAAGCTACTTACAGCTTAAAATATGTAATAAATGAAGTATCAGTTTCACTACGAGTTAATTTAGGCAAAATGTAATTTCTATGTATTTGACCACATTCTTAAATACTTTATCAATTTACATTTCACACAAAAGTGACACCACAAAATACTTTCTTTTTCTGTGCTGTACTTTTAGTAAGCAGTACCCTATCTTTGTGCATACTTGATGAACATGAAATGGTTTTCACCGAAGAGCTTCATCCAAAAAATTAGATAATTGTCAAAAGTAGCCTGGTCAACATTTTCTTTAAATAATGATAAATGTGAGCTACAGGAAGTGCACCATGGAGCTTCTTCTACAGTTTCCAACTTGATTTGGTCCACCACATTATTTAGAGGGAGTTTAGCATTTGTTTCAAACACACATCAATGCAGACCATTTTAAATGTGCTTGTAACTTACATTAAATTAAAGACTAAATTATAAAGAAATTGTTATAGTCAATATATTGAATAAGTTGCCATACTTTTAAAAGAGCAGGTTCACTGAGAAACAATTTTTACTTAATATTTTTGAAAATGATCAGTCATTCTTAGTTTAACATGCAGGCCAAATGTGAAAATAGACTTCTACCCCTATTTCCCGCATTAGCATAATAGAAAATAGACAGAAAAACACTCGGCTCAGAAAAGCCTGACAGATCTACGTCACACTGTCACTTAACATTCAGGGACTCTCCCATCTTGGCTCGCGACAGAGAAGGCTGTTGTTTGTTTTGCTGTATTTTATATTCTGATTTGTATTTTATTGTTTTTAATGCATTCTGTTTTTATCGTTATCTGTTAAGCACATTGGTCAGCTGTCTTGCTGTTTTTAAATGTGCTATAGAAAAAAACTGGATTGAATTTAGCATCCAGGAAACAGCAGATCACATCTTGGCTAGTAGAAGCTAACAGTTAGCATTAGCAGCTCCACCACATGGCAGAACTCCTTCAGGGTTGTGTTATTTGTGGAGATTTAAAAAATCAACGTTGCAAAACAAACATTGTCAATGGTAGGGTTGTGTTATTGTTAGCCATTCAGAGGCAAGATGTATAAATATCAGGAAATAATAAGGCTTTCACATCTGGATCAGCCCGGCCAAGTCCTGGTAGGTTTATTGACATTCATTCCTACTTGAGACTACTAAAATTGTTTTAAAAATATGAGTAAATTTGACCCTTAAACGTTTGGCGGAGGATGTTTCTGAATTTCAGGAAATAACTGACTTCTCCACTATTTGAAAAAAAATACGCATGAGAGAGAACGCCCAGTTATCCTCGTGCACGCTCTGTTTACAATTAGCTGCTGGCATTGCAGCTAACTTCTTCTAGCAGTAAGCTGAAAGGAATTTCTCCAAATAGCATGCCGAACTTAAGCTTACTTGTCAAGCAGAAAAGCAGTGACAGAAGCATCTGTGGGAGCCCAACCTTTGCTTTGAAGTTTTTGAAGTAAAAACTACCCAGCAGCATGCATGTACGACGAAGGCCTTGTGTGAACAGTTCACCAGAATGATTGACAGTTATGCTGACCAATGGTTCAGATGTTACCCTGAAGAAAAAGATCCTCCGCTATAGGGAGCCTAAGTCTCCTCCCCTTCTGATCGGCTCACGGGTCTCCGGAAGAATGAAAAAATTAAAGCTAAATTAAAGCAAGTCAACGGGGCTAAAAGAGTTCTTTTCTAATCCGCTTTGCTTTAGGCCCTGGATCGCACATATGTTGTACTGCAACTTAAATGAAAACTAATGATGGGTGTTTCGACCATGCTTGTCACGTACTTTGAGATTTATCATCTTGTAAATGTTCCTAATTATGACTACAAATTAGATATTGACACGTCGCATATATGACATCACCACATAATCTGTTCTCCACTAACGTAGCTGCTACTTACCAGATAGCCAGATTTATGAAGGAAGGATTTTAAGACAGCTAAACTTACAGTCATTTTACCCTCAGTTTTCTCTGTGTCTCTGTGTCAAAATGCGTATTTAAAATCCACGGACATCATATGTGAAATAATCCATGGCACATAACATGCAGAATAAGAAAATGGTGTTTTTAGCCCCATTGACTTGCATTCATTTTTTCATTCTTCCGGGGACCCATGGTCGGATGTAGATGGGTGTGACTTGGGCTCCCTATACCTTTAAACTGATGCGCCAAATCACTGTTACTGAAAAAAGGAACATACATCTGTATTTTGTTACTTTTGCAATACATTACTCTTACTGCTAGCTTAGTTGCTCGCTTCTAGGTAGCTGCATTTGAAGCAGCAATCAGCTTTAGCTTGTCTCTGACTGAATATCAAATAGACAAGGGTATTAACTTTGACGTTTATTAGGCTACTCAGGAGCTTTTTAGTTATCATCTGTGAATAAATTCACAGTTGGACAGTGTATTCTTTTATTGATTTGATAAAGAATGAGTCATTTTCGGTTACAGGCCAATTGGTATCCCTAGGCAGACCTAGCCATCTGTTGCCTTTCCAGTTTAGCCTGTAATGCTTATTTTTATCATTTACCCTTTTGAATGTTATAGATGTGTTCTGAGTCCTAGTTCTTGGATTAGCCGTTCGCTTGTCAGTCTCTTGTTCTATAAAACACGTTCATAAACGCTCCAGAAAACCCTCCAATAGAAACAAATTTCCCTTACTGTCTAAATAAACCGATGAACTTTTTGTATCTTGATTCACTTTGAGTTCATCTGAAGCTCCTTAATAATGACTGTTTGTTTCAGGGGAAATATGTTGGCTGCGGAGGGGTGTACTCCACTGGGATTGGAGCAACATGCCCCCCACCCTAAGAGCTATTTTTGTGCATCTCACTTTCACAGCTCCAGGCTGATTTTCTAACCAGCACCCAGTTCTTTAACACAGAACTCAACAAAGTCCATCAATAATAAACTACACCAAAAGGATGCCCAAATGACTTCCTGTCAGCTGTTAAATTAGTGAAAGACTTGTGAGGTTCCTCTGTTCTCTTGTAAAAGAGTTGGTTTACCCACAGAAGCTCAGGAGAAACACTCTGAAGAGCTGAGAATTAGATTTGATGTCAGCTGCGCCGGCACTCAGCTGTTTACATGCCTTAAAATAGCACATGTTCCCATGTGGCATCTGCTTGAAATTGGCCACATCTGGATCGTGCTACCTGGTCACTGCTCACACACACACACACACACACACACACACACACACACACACACA